ATAAGAACTATCCCTCTACAGAACTAAATATGTAATTCATGCAAATATGTAAAAAATATATACCCTACAGTATGTTTTGAAGATTAAATGGTTAATTTCTTTTCTACAAATGTTATCAATTCAATAAAGAAATAAAAGGATTCTCTAAGTCCTAAGATAGCATGATAAGCAGTCACTTTTATTAACAAGTCAAGATTGGCTTCATGAAAACAATAACTCCTGGCATTGTTATTTCTTAATTCATCACAAATTATAGCAAATTAGGATAAATAATCATCACTTGATATATCGTCACCTATGTGCAGTAACTCGTATTTAATTATAAAAGAGTTAACCAGTTTTAAGGTGACGATAATATGTTCATAGTAACATTGGGTGAGCGCTAATGTTTACAAATGTTTTGTTATATCTTTCAATATTTAAATAATACACATTCATCATGTTCCAGGAAAATATTTTCCGAATGATTCTTTTACCTTTCCTGATATGCTTGTAGAAAATGAGACATGTTTTCATCAATATATTTCTGAATGTCATAACGGAAATATAGAAATAGCTAATAGAAAATTATATACATTGTACCAATAAAATCGGCAAGTACTTACATGTACCTGAAACATTGTATATGTTTATTTTTCAAATATCAAAAGATATATCGAATAAATTACAACATATAATTAGCGGTGATTCATCCTCACCATAAGAAAATGTATTAAGAACACTAACATCCCTGGACATATGGTCACTGAATCATTTAATTAATTTCTAATACAATGCACATTTATACACGCTAGCTTCTTTATTTCGAGCAATAATTATTTTAAGATGAAAAAAAAACAAGTTGTGATAAGCAAAACAAATATACATATGACACATTTCAATTTGTAATGTTGTTTACTTTGGTATATACAGCAAAACTAATTATATCTAAAATAAAATAAAGAAAAAATCTATATAGTAAACGTCATTCCTATTCCTACATTTGAACATTTCGTCTATATAAAACGTCAGTACAATCACTTGCCATCAAAACTAGTTGAGCATCTAAATTTAAGTTGAAAATTCCTCGTTTTATTCTGTTACCTTTACTACTCTATCTCCGATGCCATAAAATCATGCATAATTACCAAATACCAAACAGCGATATCATTTGTGAGGTAAATGTTTTTATATTACGGATAAGGATGATTTTAGAGTTTAGAGTATGAAGTATTGACTAACCATATTTGTGATATTTTGACTAAGTAAACAATAATTGTGATCTTTCCATCATCTTAACAAAATCATTAATTTACTGTACCTCCATATGCGAAGATTCTCCTTCCACATAATATCAAAATTCAACAAAGTACACGTATGCTTTAACATATCACATGTTTAGAAATCTAATCATAACAAACTAAGAAGCAATCATACAGGCATTTGATGCTTATTCAAAATGGTATCATGGATCAGTAAAACATTTGATCCATGCTATATCTGAACATACAAGTCACAATAACTTCATAAAAGAAATATAATGAAATAACTCCTGTAGATGTGCCACTGGAAATTCACTTGTTATCACTATTTCAAAGCCACAAAATTTGACAAATTCAAAATAAATACAGAATATGGTCTGTTACAGTGTATATTTCGTTTTAAGTCGGCAAATAAGCAATGACATTTTATTTGCGTGGGCCTGACTTGGTATCATGCCCTGTAACAGACTATTTTAGGCTTTGACCTCCAAGTGTGACATTGACTTTCGAGGTAGAGGTCTGGGTATTGCTCCTGACATGTCGCCTTTTTGTTAATATTTATGCAAATTTATTTCAAAATCCCTTGGCTGATGAAACAGTTATATACCGCACACACAATAAAAGAACCTTTGTGCCACGTACTTTCAATATCCCTTGAACAATAAAAAATATGGAATTGACACAAAATATACCCCGTAAAAGACCACGTTAAGTTTTTGAGTATGGCCTTGACATTGGAGATAAGATGCCAAGGTGATAAGACGTTTTATCACCTAGTGTGATCTTGACCTTGAAGGTAGCCGTCTGGATGTTGCGAACAGCACGCAATCTTCTTACTGTGAACCTTTCTTCTAAGTATTATCAAAATCCCTTGATAGATTGGAAAGTTATAAACTTGAAACAAAATATACTCTATTGCATACTTTGTAAATCTTTGACTCAAACTGTGACCCTGACCAGACTTGGAGGTAGGCTACAAGTTGATGGACATGACATATTGTCTTATTATTGTGGACATTTGAGCTAAGTAATTTCAAAATCCTTTGATCAATGAAGAAGTTATGGACAGGACACAAAATATACCCAATGGCAGACTATGTTAATCTTTGACCTCCAACTAGTTCGTTGACTTTGAAGATAGGCGACGGCTGGTTGTTGCGCATGACACATCGACTGATTATTGTGAACATTAGTGCCCTTCATGGATAAGAAAGTTATGAACTGGACACGACGAATACCCTTAAAAAAGCTTTTTCGAACTTTAATCACCAAGTGTGATATTGCTTTTTGAGGTAGGGATCCGGTTGTTGCGCATGACACCTCGTTTTATTATAACAAACATTCGTGCAAAGTTATTTCAAAATTCCTTTGATAAATGACATATTTATGGACCGGACACAAAAGTGTGACGGACGGACATACGTACAGATGTCTATTTCTTTATCCCCCTTTTCCTTCGAAAAGGCGGTGCACAAAAGGGATGTACTATTATCAGGCCTCCTTTCGGTAATTCCCTGTCTCTTCCGGTCTATTTTGACCGGGATTTACTAGAGACCGGCGAATAGTATCGCACGTTTATTGTCCGACCTCTCCCGGTTTTGGAGTATAAATTTTAATTGAAATCATAACAAATAGATAAGTTTGTTTTCCAAAATTGAATGTTTGTTACTTAGTTTGGTTACAATAATGAATTATCACAGATCATCTCTCAAATCTATGTATTTATTATAATTATTATAATTCTGAAAAGAACAAAAGCTCACTTCATTTTATTTATGTCTGATAAAAACAAAAATACATACAATGATTGAATAAAAAGGTACGTTTTACGGTACTAATATGACACAATCAACTTTGAAACATGTTATTTAATTTGTTATTTGCGTTTATTAAAGAGATTCTAAGTTACAAATTAGATTTTATGCATTATTTTGTTGATTGATTTTTTTAAGAAAACTAAATGGTTTAAGAATAATTAATAGTATATATTGAAAGTTTAACTATAATAATAATTATTTTCATTCAAAATAATTCAATTTATTTTCGAGAAAGAAATAGGCCGTGTATTACATTAATATTGGTACCCGTTTCTATTAAGTATGTCATTACACATACGTACATAAACTGAGCTACAGTCGTTTACAGTTACATTGCTATAAGTACGTGAAAATCGCGCAATTCTCCCACTTGCTTTCGACAACGCATTCAGACTTATAGTAGTACCTTTACGAGAATTCTAATTTGCTGTGTAACGCTATGCCACGTGGTCGCAGGAGAGCTGTAACATTGCCTTCTCCTCAGGAAGAGGATAGTAATGCTAGAACAACGAGAGGCCGAAAGAGACCAGCTTCTACAGCGTTAACGTTGGAGGACTCCGTTGATGAGCGCATGTTGCAGAACGAAGCCGATGTTTGGATTCTGGGGGATTCAATCCCATACTGGGCCGGGAATTATGCAAAGAATGCGGCTAAGGAGAATTTGGGCTTGAAGGATGTGTCCATTGCTTGGTGGGCAGAGAGAGGCCTCAGATGGGGTGGTTTTAGACGCCTAATAGAAATGCAGGTGTTGTTTTCTTCTCCACCTTCTATTATTTTTATTCATTTAGGTGGTAACGACCTTGTGTCGGTCAATACAGTACAACTACGACTTTTAATTGAACAAGAAATTACATATTTAAGGGAAGCCTTTCCTCATACTGTGATAATATGGGTTGATATTTTACAACGTCAAAATTGGTCAGGTGCTATTAGGGGATATCGACCTATCGAAATGAAAAGAAAACGCCTTAATCGTCTAGCCAGAAAAATTGTTACGTCATCAGGCTTAAGTGATATCATTATACCTGATATTGATGCGGCCACGGCCTTTTTTCGAGATGATGGCGTACATCTCAATACAGTAGGTTTTGAATTCTATCTAGATTATATTAAGGATGCTATTGTCAAGCATTTAGGATCACGCCATGTATAGACCTGGGAAGTTGTTACCGGCCTCTTTAATAAAAAATAAAAATAAAAAAAAAAAATAGTATGAATAAATTTGGGGGATAAATTAATCAATTTATTGTGGCGAAAATTTATTTAGGAGAAGTAAAATTAATCAATTTATTGTGGCGAAAATTTATTCATGGAAGAAGTCAGATGTGTCACATTTTTTTGCATTAGCCGGTAAACTATTTGGCATTCGGTTCTGGTTACCCGGTAGCCAATGTTAAATGGTTTCAGTATGGCACATGTGTTTTTATTTAATAAGCTTGAAATGAAATATTAGCGCGACACGTCTGGCTTTCTTGCTGTTTCGCTGCATTAGGTACATGTTTATAGGAATCAGGCGAGATACCTCGACTGGTTATTCAGAGCGGCCATTACCTCCATTATATATTTTATTGATCTATTTGACTTGTATAAAAGCTATGATACAAGCTGAATTGCAGCGTATGCTCGTACAAAATAAATTTGCTATTTGAATTTGTTTGGTATTCTTTTTTCTTTTGTATAGTAAAATAACTAACTGATTATTTCCAGTTAATTTTAGAATTATAATCGTTGGTCAATATGACGATTGAATTTTTAAAATTTATGTAATATAAACGTAATAACTCAGTATTGAAATAGCACATAAAAAAAACAAACATTTTTCATAAGAGATTAAGAGAAACACATATTTAAACAGAGATTACAATTACTTTATAATAAAACAATTATGCTCAACATGATCAACATGGTAATTTAATCAGTGTCATAATTTAACTAAGAAAAATATATTTCTTGTGTTAAGAATGAAAATCATAGAATTAGTTTGACCAGATTTAGATGCTCTGCACATAACTTACTTATAGAAGAAGGAAGACATAGAAATATAGAAAGAAACCTTAGAATTTGTACCAAATGTAATATGAATGTCATTGAAAATGAATATCACTTCCTCTTAGTTTGTCCGTTTTATAGAGAATTACGTATCAAATGTTTGCCAAATTATTATTGTCATTGGCCTAATTTATTCAAGTTTAAAAATCTTCTTAACAGTTCTCAAAGCAGTACTATTATCAAGCTAGCTAAATATATATACCAATCATTTTCTTTAAGAGGATGATTATAAATAATTTATGTATTGTGTAACCTTTGTTGTAATGTCATAAATAATTTATATGTTTTTATGTTCAAAGTATATAATTGTTATTATCATGCTTTTCTCATGTTCAAAATATATATTGTTTTGTATTGTGCCGCCAGATGTATTGGCGATAAACATTGTATATATGTTAAAGCCAAATAAACATTGAATTGAATTGAATAAGTGTGAACAGATATCTTAAGATATTTAATGATGGGGACTTCGCTAATAGCGATTACATAATAAGGGACAATAAACAAGTGTGGTGTTGATCGTGCGTTACACAAGTAGATTAAAAATGATAGTATATGCCCGTTGCCATTGATAATCAAGATATTACATTAAACTAACAAATGTAATTATACATTAAAATGTTATAATTTAAAAAAGATAACTGATGCATATTTTTGGCAAAATCGGCATGATATATCGTCAATCATCGATAAATATAAATAATATAAAAATACTATTTAATTACCATTTAATTGTTCAATACTTTTATTTGAAAATCTTATCTTTTTAGATTTTGTCATCATTTGCTTTACTAACGCAATTTACATACATGATTATTTTTTTATCTATATTAGTCGATAAAGATAGAAAAAGAAAAAAATACAAAAAAAACATTAACAAACCGCTATAAAATTAACTAACTAACAGACGTCCCCGTATTTAATATGCTTTTTCATTTATAACATTTCATGCTCACATAAAATAATTTATGTCATTCCCCGTAATTGATAAGCTTTTACATTTATATCTGATTAAGATATATAATTAGTAACCACAAAGAATACATAATTCAAAAACAAACAAATAATTTGAAACGAAATACATTATATCCGAACAAAAAATCTCACCTCAACACATTTTTCATCTAGAAAGATTGATAATTTGTAGAAGACCGGCACTAATCATGCCAGTAAATATGATACTATTCGCCGGTCTCTCGTAAATTCCGGTCAAAATAGATCGGGAGAGACCGGAAGCGACCGGACCGGAGAATAGTACACCCCTGCACAATAACATAATTTTACATAAGATTTTGCTTTACACTTTTGCTTAAATAATTTATACAAAAAATGACCATACAGTGTATCAGACTTAGCAAGAATCTTCTGTAAAATCACAAACCATCAGTAATCTAGCTTAATACCTCCCTTGCACCAAACAGTTTAAATTTTCTAGTGGTATTCTCCAACCAACCTTAATTACTGCGTCAAAAGGTTATATGATAATACATAACTATACCAAATAGCAATACCATTTGTGAGGCTAATGTTTTTACAAATGTAAGGCGCTTTTACAAGCATTAAGTTTATGAAGACTTTACCATGTCTCGTGATATTTCACCATTAACTAAACATCATACTCCTTCCACATAAGCCGACATACCGCCGTATAAAGGTATGCTTCAACATATCACATGTTTAAAGATTACATAACATGAAACAAATCCTACATTGAATAAGCAGAACACAAACGTTTGATACTTATTCAAAATGGTACAATAATGAAAATAATTATTATAAATAGTACAATCAATCAAAAGAAAATGCTAATAACAAACATGTTATCAGCAAGCCAATGTGTGTTATGAAAACAGTTATAACAAGTATGGAAAGGCAGAAATTTGTATGAACCTAGAGAAATCATCGTCAACTTAGATGATCAATCGTAATCTAAATTTTGTTTTAGTTGGTATTCACTTTCACTTATTCCAACGAACGTACAAATAACATATAACTAAAATAACATATTTATAATTGCTTTACATTTTGCTTTTCAGTAAGAGTGTATAAAGTTATATATAAGGTACAATAATTATTGTTTGAATTTTGAAAAGTCATTCTAAATATGGTAATAGCTAATAAATTTGCCTTTTAAGTCAATAGACGAAATCATTGCTCAACAGAAAAAATATGATTAAAATAGCAAATTGATATTTTGTTCCGGATAATTTTATTCAGTTTTCTTGTGACACATTCATGTGTGTTTAATAAAATAGACATGTTATGTTACAACTTTTCGATCATAAATATAAATATAAATTTGTTGACAAGTTTTAGAAAAAAATTCATAACATTCATACCATTTTAATTTATTTTACCACCTGACAACGTTTATTTGGATGGACCTTGAGGTATGCTGCTGTATGATTCTTTTTTAAATTTACAAAAAACTAGATTCTCATAATCGTATATATTATGTAAACCAAAAATAGCCAAATCAGAAATCAAACAATACGAGACATACATGTATATACATGATGTTTTTTATATAAAAAACCAACTTTTCTTGTTCTTTCAATTAAATGTATATACAATATAATAGTATTAATCAATATTCAATTAATTTCGAAATCAATATTATATGTAATTTGTTTATTCATAAAACAGCTATCACCAAAGATTTATGATATATATAATAACACTTAGCATTGTACAATTCACCTTCGTATTATAATAGGTTGGATGCTGTTCCATTTATTAGGAACTTATATTTTGACTTGAGTAGCATTCTGCCTTCTTTGACATGACATATTCATCCAAAAAACCTTTGACACAGTCAAATACCAGGTCTTCTCTGCAAACAATGTGAACTAGCAGGGACTTCTTTCTGACAGGTCTAGAATAGTAATCTAGATAACTCTGAAGGAACATTTCTGCGCATGCCCTTATATCAGATTCTGATCTACTATCTGTAATACAATATCATACAAATGAATTTCTATGTATAATTATTATATGACAATTTTTAATTTCTATACATACAAAAAAAGAATCGAGACAAACACAATTTTCTAAAATCACTAAGGCCTATCTTTATGTAATTTGTTTACTGACACTATTAACTCCAAACAATTATTAATTCCATAATATAGATACACATTGTTCTATGTTAACATTGTTCTATGTTAACAATTTTTTTTTCTAATATTAAAATGGAATGTAATCAATAGATAAATCATTCAGGATTTAAATTCTTTTTAATTGGTTGACTTTAAAGTGGGCACCAACACTCTAACGGTCATATGGCTACTTTCCAGCTTTACTTGTTGAAGAAGACCTCAGGTGCTTCTATGCATTATTTCAGACGAAGGCAGGCTACTGAGTAGAACCACAAATGCTTCAGAGGCTAGCTGGAGAATAAAAAAACCTATAGCTGCAAGGAGCTCGTGATTTAAAGTCAACTACCTTAACCATCATGGATGCCAGATAAATTTATCATAAGTATCAATTTAACAGCACTGAATGTTATTAAATTACCTGGGCCAAGTAACGGTGCAACAACTTCCTGAATTCCAGTCTCTGTGTCACACAAGCTAAATACATTCTTATACAGCTTTTGAACATCATGCTTCCTTTGGCTGATATCTTTGTATTTAGCATTAGCTGGATAAATTGCATGTACAATAATTGGATAACCACACTCATAACCATGTGTAATGAAAACATCACACTCTTTTTTACGATGGCATTCTAAAGACAGCTTACAAGTGTAGTTTTTACGGTATATATTTGGTATTCTTGAAAACAGACTACCAGCAATATTTCCACGATTTCCTCGACCATCAACTGGTATAACAATAGCACGTGCTTTAACTTTTAACAGATCTCCTCGAGTTAAGAGCAGCCTATATTCTTCCTTCCCATGCAGGATATATGCATATGCGTTTGATTCCTCGTCAAAAAATGATAATGGTTCCGTCTGGGTTACTTCATAAATATTGCTTGTGGTAGACTGGGTTTGAGCATTAAAGCTATCCTTGTGTACACTGCTGCTAAAACCGGCTTGTGCTCCAGTATAACTTCCAGGGGAATGTCCTTTGCCATGTCTCCAGCTTTTGACAAACTTGCTGGTATCACAATCAGGCATTTCTCCTTTAACAAACACTAAGTAGAATGCATCCTGTATTTTCTTTACAATATTTGTGTTCTTGTCAATAAAATGGATCTCTTTTAATGCAGATGGCTCATTAGAAGTTTTTCTGCTGTAATCAAATGTAGCTTTTGCATACTGCTGTACACAAATCTCTTCTGGAACACCAAATATTGCTGAAAGATTTGAAATAAATACATTTTTCTTAAATGCTTAACTATGCTACATTTGCATATAGACATAGAGATAAAATGAAAATTGTACAATAGAATAAACATCAGATCAATAACTTGATAAAGGTCAACAATGTTTCCACCTTAATATCTAAGCTCTCGCCCTTTAGCTGCTTAGCCTTTAGCTGATTTTTCTGGTTACTATTATATATTTAGGGAAAACCCATCACAAACACATTAGCTGGATTAATTTTAACACTAGTGTCACAATTTGAGATCCATTAGATGATTTTCCTGTCACATATTTTAGCTCCAGCATTTGGGCTACCAGATAAGTGGATTTGTACTATAAATATAAAAGGAAAACGCAGGTCCAACTTGTCTGGAAGTAGCCAATTTTGACCTCTTTGACCTAATTTGAACAATCTTTGTATATTAATACTAGTAATAAATAAGATGATGTCTCATTCAGAATATCTAAGCGCTTGTAGGTTTCAGGTTTCAAAGAAGGTGTCGGTAAAATGTTTATCTATATACATAGAAGGAAAACCCATGTGCTTCAGTGCTTAATTGTCCCTAGATATATAGATGAAAGTTATATTTTTTAAATCCCTTTACAGGCCATATGACCATCTAATGCAACCAACCAGAACCATTTGAACAATTTGAATGGGTACTACACAAGGATCATACCTATGTAGTTTTCTTAAAACAATTGCCTATTTTTATAGAATTTTAAAACCGTTTATTTGCATTGAAAAAATGTAACAGAAAAAAATACATGGAATTGCATGTTGTTATGTATTGTGATCTACAATGAAAAAAACTCATAACCCAGAACAAAATAAACGTTATCTGCCATCGAAATAATATCAAATAAGTCTGACTCAAGGGCAGTAATCCAAAAGGCTTAATCGGTGACCCCAACTTTATTACAAAAAATATGTTTGTTATCATATTCTAACAAAATGCCAAGTTTGAACATTGAACAGTTTTAGATCTGCCTATATGTTTATATGAAAACTCCCAAATACGTCCTTAAAGGTGGTCTCATTGGGAACGTTTTACGGAGCACAAGTATGATACATTTTCACCCTTATGTTTTAAATAATGTCCCTTTGTTTACTTTACTTCGATACTTTTGCTTAGACAATAGAGATATAACATGTAATTTAAATAATCATCGGAAGATGTCACAGTAAGAAGAGATGCATTTGACACCGTTCTGCATCATAATTTTGGAGCAATTGACCTTTGATATTTTTGTGCTTAATTTGCTTTTCTTTTATCCCCTTTTGTCAAAATTATAATAGTTTATATAAGATATCAGTTTGAAACTACATTGGTGGAAAGCTTGCATTGAACAGATTTGTAACTTTTGGGTTATTTTTCGTTTGATATATGTTTATAAAGGTCCGAGTGTATAGATCAGTTTTTGCTTATCTTTTCTTTTGGTTGGCATTTGGAAGTCGGTGACTGCCTCTTGCTATATTTATTTGAGGGTTTTCATACATTATATATATTTATATTATATATTCTTTGAAAATATGCATAAACAAGAGTCACCACCAAGAAAAGTGCTATAAAATATTTTTTATTCAAATTTATATTTGTCCTTGACGGTCAAGGTCAGTTAAAGTCAAGGTCACATCTGAATTAGTTATCATTCCGGTGTTATCATTTGTGGTCTTTTGTCCAGGTATGAATCAAATATGTAAATAAATAACAATTTTGGTTAGAGAAAAGGGATTTTTTATGGAAGTTAAAGAATTGTTTTGTAAAACTTTTACAACTGTTATGACAGATATTTTTACAATCAATAGTTACTTTCTTCAGGTGATCAGTATTTAAATGCTCTAAAACTATTATTTAAATGTAATAAAATTCAGGCTTGCCCTTCCTTAAATGAGAAAAAAATATTCATTCCTAAGGCATAATGTGCCTTTAAGCAACTTAAAATATTGTCAAGAAATTTAAGCAAATTTCAATAATTTGATATCGACAATAAAGATTATTTATAGGTCAATGTCATTTTTGAATAACTTAACATGTCAGTTTTCTTATTACTGTCCCTTTGTCCAAGTATCAATAAAATCTATAAATAAATAATAAAGTTATGACAATTCAAGCCAATTTCAATAACTAGACCTTGACGATAAAGATCAAATTAAGGTCAATGTCAAGCTTATTAAAATCTCGTTTAATATTTTTTATCAAGAATTGTTGGGACAATATATAAAGTAACTAAAAGATTTTAGCCAGTAATAGCAAATCAAACTGTGAAATTACAATATTTAGACATTCAAAGGCAAAATCATTCTTGAGTGAAGTTCATAGTCAATTTAATCTGCTTAACTGTTTTTTTTCGACACAATCCATTCATATATAACTAAGTTGTAGCCAATTATAGCAAAATCAAGCAAAATTCAGTTATTTGAACCCAAAGGTCAAGGAAGAGTAGTCATAGATGAGTGAAGGTCATAACCAGGTTTGTCACTTGAAGGTCGAGTCCAAAATATTGGTTTAATCATTGTCAATTATAGTAAATTAAGCAGAATTCAAACATTGACCATAAAAATCATTTATGAGTAAATTTTCAGTTTAAGTCTGATTTGAAAAAGGTTGTTATATCTACGTATGAAGACAAGCCATTTAGGGGTATAGATGGATACCGAAAATAAGCTATTTTCGCGAAAATAAGATCCCGGCTACGAAAATAACATTTATTTTTTATTTAGTGCTTTTATTCGTTTAATTTATTAGTTTATTTAAACATTTATGCATTCTTTGAATGATTTTTCAACAAATTAACATATCAAAACCAAATAAATATCGTAAAAAGTGAAGTTTGATCCGAAAATAGCTACCTACGAAAATAACTCAAATCGCCCTTTCGAGCGAAAATAAATTTATTGTTGATATTATTTATAAAAACTTATTTTTATTGTTACTTCTTGATTTGTATGAATAAAATAATAAAGATTGAAATGTATCGTAGTGAAATATTAGCAAATTAAGCAAAATTCAAACATATGACCTTAAAAGTCATTTATGAGTAAAGTTTCAGATCCAGTCTAATTTATCTGAAGGTCTTGCGCAAAAGGTTGTTATGTCCACGTATAAAGACAAGCCATTAAGAAATTAACAAAAAAGAGTGGCAAATGTTAAACTTTCGGAAAGAAATGTCCAGGTTAAACTGACTGTAGCAATAGCTCCATCATTTTCTTTAAAATGTAAAGCTAAACAAAACTTCTAAATTTCAACTTCTGTCGTAAAGTGTATAAACTTTGATAGTAATATCCACATATAAAACCACCCCTCTCTTTAAACCATTCTGATTCAGGCCAGTTATTATTTTGATAGAGGGTTTTTACTCTATTTCAAACATACATTGTCAATCATATAACAAGTAGAAATCTACCAACCTGAGCTTATTGCAGGCAACGCGATGGACTTTAGACCTCTTTTTTCTGCTTCTATGAAACTGTTATATACAGCTTGGTACAGATGCAGCTGACAATCTTGGACATCTTGCATAGAATGTGGGGAATAGGCAGACCATCTGGGACCAACTGTATGTATAACACAATCATAACTTAAATTCCCAGCTGTAGTTGTACAAGCTTTTCCCACTGGCAAATTACCATACTTCCTGACAAAATCATTGCTTTCTTTTGTTAGTCTGTAGCCAGCACCCTTTTCTATTACTGCAGCAACACCTCCTCCATGTTGCAGACATTCATTTGAAGCACTCACAATACAGTCAACATCAAGCTGCAGTATATTTGCCTCATAAACATAAACATTAATGTTCTCTTTTGTGATGTATTCCTTCAAATATTTACTACCAATTTTGTTACTTAAGTTTTCACTGATGCTTAAATCATTGTCGCTTGTCAAAGCGTCTTTCTTTTTGTGTGCTTCACTTTTACTTTTGAAATTTTCGGTTGTTTGAATCTGTGTCCATTTATCAATTATAAGCTTGGAAAACTTGATTTGTAAAATTGTCGGGGCACCGATTACACACGGTGGTTCTTTTATTATTGTTATGTCATAGTATAAGAGTTCCCGTTGAAACTTATCAAAGTTGGAAAATTGTTTCATTTTCTCCACACAATTTTGATCTATTGCTTTTGTGACGAATTTGCCAACCTGTCAAATAGAAACAGTTTCATGCTTATTAGTAAATATGTTGACGATTCGATACAATACATCGTAGAAATAATGCTTAATCGGTATTTTATTAAAAGTTTCTCTAACAGAAATACTAAGATCATCATGAACAATGTCAGATGTGTTGCAAATATACAAATGTCATGTTATCTTGTTATCCCCCGTAGCAGACAGAGAGTTATAGACCTGGCATTATCCGTCTTGACTTTGGCAGCCATCCGTCTGTTATTTAACTCTTAAGCGCTAAAATTTGGATTATTTGCCCTTTTAAATATTTCATTCCCATTATATTTTCGTGACATAACGCAAAAAGAAAAACAAGATTTGCAAAAGACTGTTTGAGGTCTCAATTTTTCATCTTTGAAATAGAGAAAATAAGAATCCCTGAAGAAAGCACAACACGGCAATATTGAAAATGTTGCAGGCTCCGTTCAATTGAGCCTGTTCATGGACAGTTCTTTCAAGAGCAAACTACCGTCCACGCCCCTAGCACCGGCTTAAGCAGAATTAAACATTTAACATGAACTTGTACAAATTTGAATTTTTAAACATCCGCAGATCACGGAACCTTCAATGTGACACGTAAGTGCCATTCCGTGAAAAGCGGCATATGGTCCCCAAGTAAAGAAATGTGTGTGCCCTAAGCGAGAAAACAATGGGCTGAACTAAATAAAATGGAATTCTGAAAGGGGATCAGAAGAAACCTGCATATCATAGATAAGACAAATTAAAAAACAGGTCACATATCCTAAGGGTGATTCAACAGTATTCAAGTGAGGAATACTGGAGCCAGCCAACAAGAAATTAGCCAGTCAGCAAACAAACGCAATAATATTTATGCTAAAATTTATCATAAAAACATACACATTGACAGGTTGCAATACAGGTTACTCAGGCTAGCTAGATCAGCAATCAGAAGCTTTCTGAATAGTTTAAGCGACAATTGATATAAATAACATAACCAGTAACACTGTTTTGCTATATCTTCAATTGATAAATAATAACTATTTTATTACGCTTTATGTCAAATATGTTTGATTGCTTTTCCTTTTATTATCGGCACAGAAATGTCACTCTTTATATTTCATTAAGATTGATGACAGTAAATGTTCAAACAATATAATCACTATCTATTCAAATCAATTACATAAACAATCCAAACCACATTCTCGTTTTACTCCAAAGCAATTTATAATTAGTACCATGATCATAGATCACCCTGATGCGCATTTTTTATGTAATGAATGAATACTTGCAAAAGAACAAAACAAATTCGAAATGACGAACGTCATTGTATTTTTCTCCAAAGTGACACAATTTTGAGGAATTACAGTCTGTACTGTCAACTCTTTGTTACCCCATAACCCACAATCAACCTTTACATACCGAACCATGTTACACGTTGTTTAAAAGTGAAGTTAAAGGTAAGAAATATAGCTCCTTCTTTTTTTAACAATAACTCGTATATTGAACACTTATGTCGTAATATTTGTTGTGGGGAAAAATATTACCAGTTTTTATCTATATTTATTTCATGATCACAAAACATCTATAAAGTCTCTGTGAGGTCAAAAAAGTGAGTGATATATATGATGAAAGTGAAACGAGTAGTTTAAATTGGTAAAAAGATGAAGTTGAATTGTAATTTCATACACACTACCTCCCTCATAGATCAGATTCCCTCCATACCAATCCTCAAACAATATCTACTATTTGTAAACATATATAAATTTTGTAGAAATCTTTGATCGTACTTCAAATACGCTTCAAAATAAAATGCATTCGCTATAGCGGTATGTCAATAGGTATGGCAATATCACGAATTGTGTATTTGTCTTCACTTGCAATAATTTCTCGACTTTTAAAACATTTGTCATCCCTTTTACAGATCGGTTGTATTCCGTTACATATTTGATGCATTGTGCTTAAGAGAAAATGCCTTATGGGGAAAGTCTCATTCAATTGCCTTTACGCTTCCTTAAATTGTGGTGAATTTTAAGGAATTTTCTCTATCTTCAGCAATATTATTCTGATATATTATCAATATAATAATGATGTTAAATTTTAGTGATCATCTTATTTTGTAAACAGACAAAAGTGTAATATATCGCTTACATTAGCATAGTAATATTTTGTTGTGTTTTATTTCTTTTATACACTATACATTTGTGTTAAATAGTGTAGTCATTCTATGTTACATGTCTTTCAAAAATCCACCATGATGTGATCATAACATTATGTTATGAACATAATTTTACCGTTCATTAATTTTATAAAAAGATATTCTGAAGAAAAAAAGGATTACATAACACCTGTAAAAGACATTGTTGTTGCTCGTCTATGCAAAGGTGCTGATTATTACAATTTACTCAGTCACAGATGTTTATAATATAAGTACTCCTTGAGGGTTTCCCTATTGTGAAATACGTTGAATGTTTTGAATAAATGCATTTACAACTCTAGTTATTGCATCAAACTAGAATATGAAATATATCGGTAAATAATAATCTTTGACGAACCAGCATTTTTTCTTAGTATAATTTGAAACAAGATTGCATTTTAAAAAAAATTGCCATGCCACCGCATAAATACAACACTAAATAGTAATGTAGGAACACAGTTTTTTGTTTCTATACAGATTTCCATAATGCATAGATCACTTATCTATCTGTTATTATCAGATAAGTACCTTCAGACAATAAGAAAACCAATCATCCCCAGGGGAGGGGCCAATTTTAACCCCAGGGCTTTAATTTGAATAATCTTGCTAGAGGTTCACTACACAATGTTTATTGCAAAATGTCTAACCTCTAGCTTTTGCCAATTTTGACCCCATGGCTATAACTTGTACAATCTTGCTAAAGGTTCACTACACAATGTTTCATGCAAAATATATAAACTCTAGCCTTTGTGAATTTAGAAAAGATGTTTTTTTTAGTTTTTACTATATACATATAAGGAAAACCTATGACCCTCGGGGGTGGGGCTGATTTTGACACTAGAGGCAAAATTTGAACAAATTTGGTAGAGTACCTATAGATAATAACACATACAAAATATCAAACCTCTAAGCCTAGTACCTTCACACAAGAAGGTATTTTAAGTTTTCACTATATGTATATAAAGTGAAAATCAATGACCCCCAGGGCGGGCCGATTTGGACCCCAGGGCTATAATTTACCAGAAAATGACTTATTAAAAATATCTAGGCTATATGCCTTTTGGGTCTTTACAACAAGATTTTATTAATTTATTCTTATAACTCCTTTTGGTTGCCATGGCAACCAGATTTCTGCATGGAATGGAATTCTTTGAACAACTTTGGAAGCTCTCACCCGAGGATCAATGCTGCCAAGTTTGGTTGAAATTGGACTTGTGGTTTTTCACAAGAAGATTTTTCAAGGTCACTATATAATTTATAGAACACACACAAACACACACACACACAAACACACACACACACACACACACACACACACACACACACACACACAGACAAATCGCTATATGCCACCGCATCGCAGATGCTGCAGTGGCATAAAAAGTATTGAGGAAACATCGATAATGTATATACGTATATGTTGATGAAACTTCTTGTAAAAACTGAACATTAATATGCGAAATATTGCAAGTCATTTGTAAATATAAGAATAAATGTGTTTTCAAATTTCATAATATGACTTACATATTCATTAATATACCTACAGGAAGTAAACTATTTTAAATAGCAATAAATTATTTATTATTTTTGCATAATCTATAGGCATATAATGTTCCTAAGATAATCGATATTTAATTTAAAAACAGAAAACAAGAATCATAAACTATTCTTGGATATGTAATGCAAACGATTACAAAATACAGTATAATTTAGTATTAATATTATAATAATTGTTATTTACCGGATCATCTTTAATTCATCCTTACCTTCTCTAGAACTTTAAATTCAAATGGTTTTAGATGTGTACACTTGGTCAGATCTACAGCGTCTAAAATAAATGAAAATTAAAGAACTGTGTAGCAACATGCTCAGTTAGGGAAGGCGACTTTTTACACTTAAATGATTTCTCGTAATTAATAACAACACGGCTCATACAATATTGTTATTCATTTTACAGGAAACAACATTTTACAGGAAACAACTAGATCTATGTTTTAGAATTATTTAGATTTATTTGGTAAGAGGGCAAGTTTTACAATTTCGAGATTCATACTTTTACTGTTATCAACTTGTTTCTTTCACCTGTGAAAACCAAAATATCCCAAAGTTCATTGATCCTAATGGTAAGACTTGCTAAAACATTCGTTAAATCAGGCTATCCATTTGACTACATTTAAAAATAACTAGAACATATATGGAAGGAAATAATGTTACACTACAGATGCCTAGATTATGTTATATGTTATAACTAATATGTTATCATTATATTTGACCGTTGCATATCAAATAAATATATGTCGTAAATAAATACAGCATTTAAATTTGAATGTCAAGGTGACATTGCCATTCAATCAACTTACGATAAGAAACTTGTCGCCTACTTAAAAGGAAATGTAAAGTCGTTCCGTCAATTGATAATTTTGTTATTTTTCTGGTGTAATTTTGAAACTGTGCAATCGTTAAAGAACGGAAATGGTTTAAGGTCATTGTGCCTATGACATTTAAACTACTGGTACGAATCCAATCTTGGATATGAGAGGTTCTTTTTCAAAAGATACTGACGAAATTAAATGAAACAGCGTGATATTAATAGTCATTATGTAAATCGACGATAGGACGGTCAGAAATAAGGTTAATTATAATTTGAATGTAGTAAGACTTCTCACATATCAAAAAGACTGTATATCAGAGAGGTAATTTCTTCTTTCATCGGATATTGCATGGAACGAATCTCACAGAAAACACAATACTAAGTAATAAAAGCTTGGTCCGATTAAGAAATTAACACTACACAATAACGTTGACCAATATTTATTCTTTTTGGATTTTACTATTTAATGTCTGATAGAATCTAAACATAACATTAAATTGGTTCTTTTTAACATTGTTCACTATTTAAAGCTCTACATGACATAAATACTTTGCTGGAGGGCATACATACTTCTAAATACTAATCTTTTGATGCTCCGATGCATCCTTTGTAACACTGAATCAGTGCCTAGCCAAAAACTTTCTCAATTACATTTTAAAATAACATGAACAAATAGTTTGAAATACCTTTTTCAGACTGACATATAAGCAGAGCTTCACTGTCACCATTACAATAAATCAGTTTTGGAAGTCTTACTGGAAAATCCCCTTCTCTAAACAAGACAACTTTCAGGCTTTGTATGTCTAATCCTTTTGGAATGTTTTGTACTTTAACATATCTAGCAACTGTTTCTGGTGGGTCTATATCTCTGAAAGATTGAAAAATAATCTTGTCACCTATAATTACAACAGAATAATTGTTTTGATGCTTTTATAGCAAAGTGGAAATTACCGATTTGTTTCGTTTCGGGTCTCCTTAATTAAGTTCTCCTTAGTTTTGATGCGAAAAAATCTGTTTTAAGGTTGAAGTTTTTCTTCTATGACTTACAAAAGTTTATTTAATCACAGAAAGAATATTTGTAGTTGTTATATACTAACACATTTATTACCAGTGGTTTGAACAAAGCCAGTTCATTTCAAAGGAAAGGCAGGGTTGTCAAAACATCAGGAATATAAACATTAATAAGTGTATCTTGTTCTGGAGTATTAACTGCTTTATAACAACATGATTTAAGTTGAAAAGCAGGAATAAAATTGTTCATAAATTTACTTGCCTTGTATAGATAGTTGATTCTGAAAAAATAAAAATAAAAATTCATAAAATAATGAGTTTATACCAGATTAAAAGCTGTGACAAAATATTAACAATGGAAATAATACGACATATCGCATACTTATCCTTATATATGTGTATGGAATAATCAGACAAATTTTGTTTATAAAGGATAAGTTGACTATTATGCTAAAAAATATGACTAGCATATATACGAATTTTGTCTGAAACGTTCGAATAATAATAATAATTACAAATAAATAGATTTGAAGCTATGAAATATAAAGGTTGCGGGGCGAGTCACGACATCGTGTTGACGACGTTACCGTCATTCTATGATATTCCTATTTAACATTAAGACTGAAAAGTCATTTATTGTGTTCTAGATGAACAACTGGTTTAGTAAATTGTACATTCAGTAAGAACATATTGATTATGATATCAAAATTTGAAATGTTGATATCAAATACATCCGTCAATACTTCGCGAATTATCACGCTAGGTACTTGTACTTTATTGATTGTACTATTATAATAACACACGTTTGGTCTGCTAAAAAAGTCAAAGTTTTAAATTGCGCAGGTTGTCAAAATTTCTGTATTTAAACTGAAATTCAAAAATAAAAATGATGAATTTTTTGTTGTTTGAGTTCTTTTTGATGTAGATTACCTTAAATTATATATTGTTTGTTTGTTTCATTTTACGCCTTTTCGCAACAGTATTATAGTCATATAGGCGGGTAGTTTCCTAAACAACGTTCCTGGAGAGTTACACCAGTACTAGACTATCTTCCTCCGCGCTAAACTACCAAAGCATCTCCTCGGGATCGATCCCACGCCAGAGGGTATCTGGATTAGAAGTGATCGACTCTAACCCCTCGGCCACGGAGGCGGTCTAAAATTATATAACTTATGGCACTAACTATTGAATCTATTACGGTAACCAGTAAATAAGAGATGATACTATTTTAGTAAATTTAACAGTGACTGTCTATTCAAAACGTTCAACGAATACATGTACATACAAATCATGAAAAGGTAACGACAGAAAGAATCATGATGTACAATATATGTACAAGATAAAATTATACATTTACTTGAAAAGCAGCACATATTTGTGATGACATAGCTGACCCATAAAATAGATTAAAAGTAAACAAAAACAAGATACCTGTTTCCCCCTGTTGAAGAAGCAACCCAATCCCCTTGCTTTCTTTCATCATCTCTTCTAAAGTTTGGTCCCGTTTGAATATATATTCGGTCACAACATTTTTCTTTCTAAGAATATCAATATTATGCTGTGTCCTTTTCAATGCGGGCTTAACTTGCAGTGAAGCAGCAAACAACTTGTTAGGTTGATCCTTTTTAGACTCCAGTAGACTGCTTTGATTAGATATTTCAACTATCAGGTCGTCGGCCTCCTTCTGAATATCATCCAATTTTCGTTTGTCATTCAACATAACATCTTTGCCTTGATTAAGAACCTTCTCCTTCATCAAGTTCAAACGCTCAATACTTTCTTCCGCAAAAGTTTCAACGTCTCGGACAAACTGCTCATATAGTTTGGACAACTGTTGTCTGTTTATCGCTACCAATGATAAACTATCTTCAGCCTGTCTCTTGCATTTGTTTAAATCCTTTATTAAAGTTTTATTGTCCTGGCTGTTTTCAAAGGCAGCAGCTTTGTTGTTGATAAACTCTATCTTGCATCCATTGTGATTTAATACTATACAATCCCCACAGCAAACTTGGTCGTGCTTCGAGCAATAAAATTTCACAAGTTCTCCTTTGTGAAATTGACAAGTTTCATACGCATCATCAACCGTTATTTTGACTGAATTGGACTCGTCAACATTAACTAAGGAATGATTTCTATTAATTCTTCGTCCTTTGTGTTTTTGAAAACATGTGTCACAAGTATAGACTTCGCATTCTAAGCAGAACCCATCGGCATAAGTTGTTACATCAAAATCTTCACAGAAATTGCACAGTTTTAAATTTTTGTTTTTAAGCACTGTCTTACCAGAGACTTCCATAATTTTGCATCTATATATAAAAGCAAATTATGAATTAAACTATATGAATGTTTCACATTAAATCTATTTGGCCTATATATTTATATCTGCGTATTTTCTTTATCAGTTTTTATCACCAATATAAACAAGCAATCTTCATAATATTAGACGGACCGGAGTGTATTATTTAGAGTACGTTTTTAAATGTTTCAACATTGTCAAAAAATGAAGGATATTCATTTTATTGTTGAAAGGAGCTAAGCATCAAAGCAAATACATATATCATAGTCTGATAAATGGGTCTCATTATTTATTCTGATACACTGATCGACTGACACTTCACAACTCAGACTGCATTACTTATACTAGTAAGGAAATGTACGCATGAGACTACTATAGTCTAATTAACACGTTCCTCTAACTAAGCTTGATATTCTTCTCAGACATCTACCGACTTCCCTCCAGATAACAAGTACATCTGCTATTTACCAGTCGATTCTTCATATAGGCTGACGTAACATTAACTGTCATGTTGCCCTCCTTAAACTATGATTTCCAGTATAGAATAGCTAGCTATTCATCATATTGGGCATGTGTTAATGTTTGTGCTTGAAAGTCTGTGAATATGAATAGATTATTATAATAAATGAATAAATGAAATGTAGGCAATCGTTTGTCAATTTACTTCTCAATAATCGTGTATATCAATATATCGTATATTTCTTTATCATGAGTATCATTATAACTTTGACTTTTTTTTAAAAATACCAGACTATTGTATTGAAACAACAGGCAAAGCAGAAGCTTATATAATATAATTTATTATATTTATGATCTACGCAGCGCATAGAGTCTCAAATATTTGTTGTAAAAGATAAATTTCAAATTTTACAATAACAATCAAAACAATTACACAGATAACATCTGCACAATGCTTTTATTTGCGATGTATAAAATTACGCACAATTAGTTAGAAGATGCACTATTTGCATACCATCGATAGCTTGCATTCATAACAAAACGTATTCAAAAGGGTATAAGACGTTTACTTAAAGTGTAATCTACGGTGGCATAAATATGACATGTATGTGTTTTTATTTATCTTGTGCGCACGAGATACTATGTCGTGGCCCGTGTGCACGAGATAATTAAGTAGTGCGCAAGAGATAGTATGTCGTGGCCACGAATTACGAAGTCGTAGGAATGAGATAATTAAGTGGTGCGCACGAAATACTATGTCGTGGCTACGAGTTACTTATACGTAGGAACGAGATAATTAAGTGGTGCGCAGAGATACTATGTCGTGGTGACGCGCGCAGGAGATAATTAAGTCGTGCACACGAGATACTATGTTGTGGTCATGTGTCGCACGTTCTATATAATGACGTCTCGGGACCTAGTAAGTATTAACAAGATAGTTAAGTCGTGCGCAGGAGACAATCAATTAATCAGATAACACTATATATATATATTTGAACTTTTTAAACTTAGAAAATTCCTTGTTTAAGTTTTACATGCAACTTTTTGACACCACTGAAAGCACTCACTTTAAACTTGATACATTTCTTTAAGATTAAATAAGGAGAAAATCATTTTCAAATGCCCATATATCAGACTTTGATTTTGACTAAGTTGTAGCCATTTGCGGGGACCATCCTCTGATAGGGTTGTTCAGTATGTACGTACAAGCTGCCTGTTAACCTTGTTTACACGATAAATGGAAAAAGAATAAGCCCCATCTTATTTTATTTGGTATGATCATTGCCCATGGCAAACAGTCATTTTATGCAATCATTATTCTGGCTGACCACAGATCTCGATGTTCTGTTATATGCATCTTATCTATATGCATAAATAGAGCAGCTTGTTTCTATGCATACTCTGCAACTAGACAAAAACTTCACATTGTTTTACACTTTGTTAGTGCTCTTTGGTAACATTAACATAACATTATATGAGGACAGAAATGTAAAGCAAAACTTATATAAATAAGACAGGTGCCAAAGGCTCGAGAAAGTAATGTTCTGAAAGTAATGGGAAACTAATTCGATATATATTTTAGTGCGCGATAAAATGTAGCAATAACGAAGTTATTAATAATAAATTTAAAAGAACGAAAAAAGATAAACGTTTCATTTCGGAGGGAAAGAAAAACATTTTTAATAACACCCCTAAGAAGTGGATCAACGATATAGATCATTTTGAAAATTAAATATCAACAATAATATTTGATAATATTCATGGTAACAAGCGATAGGAAAAGTAGAAAAGTGGTGACAAAGTGTTTTAAATTAAATTCTACACTTACGTCGTCCTTATTAGGCCTATAGCTAAAAATGTCAAACGAATCCAAACATTCATATCATTACAAATAGAGCAATAGAAATAAAATATTAATTTACTTACATACATTTATCTTACAAGATTGTTTAATTTGACGAGATATCTATCAGATTTGTAACAAACTAAGTGATTCTTCAAACTAACCAAGATATATCTTGTACAGAAACGTTAAAGTGTCTCCAGTAAGTGAGATAATGATGTATTTGTCGAATGATTTTTATTCGATTAACTTAATTAGACGTTTTAACGCAAATCAATGTATTTCAATAACAAAGATTAACAAAAAACGTTTACTTCGCAATTTCTTTTCTGGAAATATGTTTGCTGATTTGTCTAGGCGAAAAGGTATTTTCATCTTTTGTAAAAAAAAGGGTTTTTTGACAAAAAATCGCCTACACAAAAACTTCAAGCATTTTGAGACAAGTAACTAAGAATAACAACAAATGGTCTTGTCTTTGTGAATAATATAAATTGTTTTCTGTTAAAACATCGTATTAAATAGAAAAAATATCAGTAGTCTTACACCTAATGATCGTCCTAAATGAAGGCCCTTAAACGTTTCCGTAATTTTGTTATTATAATATCTATCTAGTTATTTAATACTTTACAATAGGCCTACATGCTTGCTGAATAATCATAAAATGTTTTTAGTGCGCTATAAAATGTAACAATAACTAACTTATTATTAATAATATATTTAAAGAATGAAAATAAATATATAAACGTTTCTTTTCAGACGGAAAGAAAAACATTTTTAATAACACCCCTAAGAAGTGGGTCAATTATATAGATCATTTTGAAGATTAAATATCAACAATTTTAATATTTGATAATATTCATGGTAACAAGCGATTGGAAAAGTAGAAAAGTGGGGGAAATTGTTACACATACCTTTAATCCAATTAACTGTCAATTATATGTATTTCCTAACTTTTTCAATTGTAAACCTTTTTCTATGGTAAATGACCTTTGAAAACGAAAGTAGTCCAAATAAATCACGAAACACTTACACGTCAGTCACTGTCATCTGATAGTCCTTTTCGATTCATGGTAGGATCTTATAGCATTGTTGAAAACAAACAATTTATAAGTCTGGGGATAAAATAGATTTTTAGTATCAAATATCATATTTAAGTTTAAGGTATACTACCACTAAATTTGAAAAAGCTAATCCATCTATTTAGTCTCTGTTAGTTTTTTGTTTTGTTTTGTTTCGTTTCTTTTCTTTTTTCTTCTTTTTTTTCTTAAAAATCATGTATGCTGTAAATGAGGTTATTTACCTAACTTAAGTGAAGTTATTCATATGTATATAATTATGTTTATAAAAAAAATTTCAAACATCGAATAATATGTAAAATATGTACTGCAAATATTTGCACACATTATATGTAATCATTAAAATATATGCATTAATTTCTTATTGAAATTTGAATTTGACTTAGACTTTATAAAAAAATAAATCTTTTATTACCTCCTTTTATTTACATGAAATGTTAAATTCGGTAATATCTTTATAAATAATGCTTTTTGGAACTTACAAAATTTATAAATCTTAATTTGAGCATCATATATATGATATAAAACCATAAAAAATTGTGTTACAGGATCTTTAAAATGTCGTTGTACAGAAAGAAATCATGATAACTTAACCTTTTGCGATTGTGATAATTGTTTTCACTTTTAAATTCTACTTCACAAGGCTAACCCTTGATAACGATATAGCAAAGTTAAGGTAGACCACCCCTAATGCAATACATCCGCTTTAAAAAAATATTCAAATTGGCTAGTATTATTGAAACTGAAGGGCGTTAAGGTACGAGGGTTGTCCCAATATTCTGTAACTAGATTTAAAAGCAAAATAAAATAGGTACGAATTTGATATTTTAATATGTTATAAACCCATATAATTAAAACTTAGAAAAATATCAACAAACAACAAAAATATGCTGTAAATACCATGGCAACTATATAAATAGCGGCGCACGTGAAACGTGAAAGACGGTGTTAAATCTATATAAAGCGCCTTTCTTAAATACTCTCAATGGTTTTCAATGCAATAATGGTGCAGTTTAACCAATAAATCGTCAATTACGGACTTAAATTATGTGGTTGTTAATGTCTGCGGAATGTTTGAATAGTATACATTTAATTTAGTTTTTGCTACACACGAACTTCCGATCTCGTTGCGCCTGTTTTTAGCTGTAGGAAATAGGGGACGGAGATCGGTCTTCCTATTCGTGCTCCTTATGTTCGCTTTTTGTAGTGCAGAACTCTGGTTCCGTTCATGCCTTTAGTAAACAAATGCTCAGGATATCTTACTAAACTGTTCTATTTGTTAAATTTGTTGAAAATCGTAACATGTGTCATCCCGAAATAGTCACGAAACCTGAGTGACCTGTTCATTGCGCCGAAAATTCTTCGAACGTCGCTATTTGAACTTTCCTATTTTTTATGAGCTACTTTCATTTATCCGTTACTTGTTCCTTTCTTAAGTTATTTAACTAAAATTTCCGAGATGATGTAAACATAGCAGCAGATGAAGTCAACGTCACATTGTGCAGACACATCATCAGATATTTGAAGTATTCGTAATTAGTTTTAGCCCTTTCATTACAAAATGCAAAATATTTGACTTGCGCCGGCAACTCAAACCAATGTCGTTTATACTGAAAATTTCTAAGTAACTAGAGTAAATTTTTGTAAACAATTTGTTGTAATGTTAGATAATAAACTTAATGATTATATGTGTGAATTGTAATCTAATGGCGTTAAAATGAACCGTCTACAAATTTGTCACGGACTTTTGGGACAACCCTCGTAGAACACACCTAATGCATTACCTCCACTTTGTAGATTATCCAAATTGGCTACTGCATTGAAACTGAAGCCCTCTTCGTTTCCTTTTTTTAATAATATTCATGTTTCTTTCATATATCCATTCTGGAAAAAAGTTTTTAATTCTTATTTATATTTTAATTGTATGTACTTATTGGGTAAATAATGCCAAATTTAATGCAATATCAGATATTCTAAAAGTCTAATAAAAAATACAGGGTAAAAGTATTTTATATTTTGCAAGATCAACCAATATACCTTTTAAAAAATTTAGACAAACTTTGAAAACAGCCCCTCATTTCGGTAAATTTTAGGGATATTTTGAACAAGGCTTTTTAGATAGGTAATGGTAAAATTAGTGTTTAATGTGGGTTACATATTAAAAATGTTTTGTGTAGAAACAATCATTTTTCTCGTGTAATTTGTTACCTGAATGCTATTATTTGTTTCTTAACAATGATCAATAGGAAAATATTTTTCATAATGATGATATTATTTATTATTTTGAGTTTCTTCATTTCTAAAAAAGAACCCTTCTAAAAGCACAGTTTTATTACAAAAATGTCGATAACTCATAAATAATACGTTGAATTTTGTTTAAATTTTGCATACAAGTGTCCTTCAAGGCATATAACTGTCCTGTGTTGCCAATTTTACAGTTTCTTATAGTGTCATTTAGAGGTAGTAAAAGTTGAAAGTTGAAAATTGACCCTGTAATTATTTCAACCTAGAATGTTGATACAACAGCTAAACCAGCCATTGAAATTTCATCAGTTTTGGTTATTTTAACGATATCTACAATGTAAGATTAACATTGGATACGATATGTTTACAGCAGAGAAACACTAGGAGGCTGGATTAACATGTTTTCAAAAGGCCAAAAGACAAGATCTAATAATGAATATGTGAAACAATGAATTCGTAATGAAAGTTTAGTTGCATAGTCACTCGGAGGTCATATGCGGACCCGCACCTTGATGTGCTCTTGTTTGTACCCAGTGAAAGCCCTCAACATGATTTTTTTTTAAATTCCCAATTAATATCAAGTTGCAATAAATTACTTAAGACTTTGAAGGTAAGAGGATTTTTCTGTGTTTAATGTAAGTTTTCGGATTTATATTTTGTTATGCATGCGTTCTGGAATGCAAGAAAATCGTGAGAGTTATGTTTCACGCTTTCCACGCAGTGTAACTATGCTTATATACTGAACGAATTTTAAATCTTCTTTGGGGACTCGCATATAGATGGATAAGACGAACAAGGTCATTATGACAGACAGGTTTATTCTTGTTGTGTAAATTTCTAAGCTTGCGCAAGGTTTTGTTTTCTTTTCATGCTGTTTTATTTAGTAAATTTTTGTTATTTCAGAAGATCGTAATTCAGTTAGATTTTTTATTACAAATTTGTTTTATAGAAATTTTATTTTGCATTTTGACAGTATAATTTGTTGTTCTTTAATTTTTCGTCTTCTGTAGATTTATGACTCTAGTGTTTCATTCATTACTTGGATATTGGTAATCTGTTTATTATCATTGATAGCGGTGTATTTAGGAGGCATCCGGTCTTACTTCATATATCTTATATATCTTACAACTTGCTACGATATATAATCAACGTTAAATTTATTTTACCAGTGTTTATGGCGTTCCATAAGGGACATTATTTTTTTAGAAGCTTTGTTTATAGAATTCGACAACGTTCCGGCTATTCCAAGGGACATACTTATACCCTTATATATGTGTACCATGGATATTTACTGTGTTTTATATTTTGTAGCTTCTACTCGGAGGATTCGCCCTCAATTTTGACTCACGCATGTGTTCAACATAGCGACGATAGTGGAGATTGTGACGTAGCGACGCAGTCTTGGAGACAGTACAGAATCGATCTTTCTGTTTTGGATGGGTCACATCTCGAGCATCATTGAATATTTGTTTTGAGTTTCGCCACCGGGAAAAAGTGCTATTCGGAAGGACATTACAAACTTGACACGGAACTTTTATTTATTTTATTTTCTTTTCATTCATTCATACCATTTACTTTCAATATATTATATTTTTGTAAATAAAATGTTAAATAGTTTGTACTGAGTTGTGCTTTGTTTTTTCAGTGTTGTTATATTTTTCTGGTTCGTGATAATTGGTTTTAACGTTTTTAAGTATTGAAAATTCAGTACCACTCAAACGGGTGCTAGGGTGCGTGAGGCATGTTGCACTTTTTCATTATCCTTCATGTACAGACTCAATCAAACCGAGTCTGCAGTTTTCATGTAAATTTTTTGTGATTAATGATTCCGAGGGATAACGCTTTATACAGATTCTTTTACATATGTGTAATCTAAACAAAGTCCTATGCTGTTGGTAGCTCATACTTTACATTAGTTAAAATCCAAAATCTTCGGACTTTTCAAAGTTTAAGGAAAGGCACGATCAGACGACTATAGCAGGCCATAATCAAATACGATGTCACCGTTTGAAAACGTTTGCTTTCAAGTTGCGTTCGTTTGCTTACTAATTCACGACCAAATTCTAGTTTGCTTTAAGTAATGATTTTCACAGAACCGCAAGGTTAAGATCCTATCACCCCACATCCTTTTTCGAGACAATTGTCATGTCTTAGTAACAATCAATATAACAAGAATTTTGCATCTGACCTTATCAATTCTATTTCCAGATAAATGTAAAAAGTCATACACCTTCAACTTTTATGATACTTGATAGTATCTCTATACGATTTTGTTTCCTATTCTGTTTCCTATTCACGTGGAAAATTGAATCAAACCACTTGTGTTTACATGTAAATGTTAAAGGATACTAAAAGTTAATATTGGTCTCGCAAGGTGCGGTCAGGACCGTGTCAGTGATATTTTCCACATACGAGTGATGATCCAGAATTACTTAGACGTTTGCAATATCTGTTATACAAGGCAAGATTTCATATATAAAATGCTTGTAACATTACAGCAGAATGCATCACTTTCATGAAAGTTATGAAAATGTAATAAAAGTAAAACAGTAAAACAATTATCGAGTCAATACAGAAAGTACATGTGTGAAATTAACTTTTACAAACTGCACTTTCCATCCACGTAAATTATCAAATAAATGTCAAATATGCAAAATCCTTACATCGTTAATCGCGCAGTTAATATGGTCACACCGTACTAAAAACTGCGAAATTAGTCATTCCATGAACCAGGCATAATTATAACAATTAAATTGTTACTTGAATTATATTTTACTTTTGTTAAAAATCTATATACATTTTTCTTAATGTTAATTTTCTTAAATTGTTTTTGCTCAAAGGTTAGTCAGACATCGTTAACATTACAGACAAACGGTTAGACGTATTTTCTGTTCGCTGTTGAATCCGTGTACAGCGAGTAGCTCAAGACATTGCCTTAGAAATAATATTAAAAATCTGGTCGTGTCAATTTTTCATTTTGGCTCAGTATTTTATATAAACTGTGAATGTTACAAAGCTGGCGAATATTTCAGCACATGGATGCTGAAAAAGCGATGAATCGGTGTATTTCATCTTAGTCCAGCACATTTAAAAAATTTAATACCCATTTTTTCTTTTAGTTTAAAATTACAAACAAATTTAACACGTGAAGATCTTAAATATTTTTATCCAAGAGTCACTTTGTAAAAAGTAGTGTTAAGATGAAATATGAAAAGTACTTATTAATCAGATTTAAGCCAGTAAATAATTGCGTGGCAGAGTGGTTTATGCCGTTGACTGTTCACCAATTGCCCCTCACATCCTACCAGGTACTAAAATTATTTGATATGAAGCAGTTATCCGGATAATTGAACGTCAGTGGTTCTTCTCTGGTGCCTGCTTCTGTGTAAAATAATTCAAAGAACGCCACTTGAGGTATTCCTGTACCAGTAAAGCTGAAAAGTCACCTCTCATGATCTCTACTGTGTTAGTGCGGCGTAAAACCGAAGTAAACAAGAGCCGGTTGAACCGGGTGATGCTCCCCGAATAGGTTATGGATACAGGAAGGTATACCTCTTGTTGTGTCAGAGTTATGTCACAGACAAAGTTCAAAGTGTAAAAACAACCCAAATATTGTGCACAAAACATTGTCTCAATATGGTGATCATTTTTGTGAAATAGTTGTAAAATCCGATTTCAAATAACAAAGTTATGCGCCTGACATTATTTTGCTGCAAGGTCATGCTGTGACCTTGACCTTCAAGGTAGTGACCCAAATGTTGCATGCGACACGTCGATTCAATATGGTGATCATCTCTGTGAAATAGTTGTTAAATCCGACTTCCAGTAACAAAGTTATGGGCCAGACACGATTTTGCTGCAAGGTCATACCGTGACCTTGACCTTCAAGGTAGCGACCTAAATGTTGCGCGTGACACAATGTCTCATTGTGGTGATCATTTCTGTGAAATAGTTGTAAAATCCGACTTAAAATAATGAAGTTATGTGCCGGACACAATTTTGCTGCAAGGTCATGCTGTGACCTTGACCTTCAAGGTAGCGAGCCAAAAGTTGTGCATGACACGCCATTTTAATATGGTGATCATTTCTGTGAAATAGTTTAAAAATCTGACTTCAAATAAGGAAGTTATGGGCCGGACACGATTTTGCTGCAAGGTCATGCTGTGACCTTGACCTTCAAAGTAGCGACTTAAATGTTGTGCATGACACGTCATCTTAATATGATGATCATTTCTGTGAAATACTTTTTAAATCCGACTTCAAATAATGAAGTTATGGACCGGACACGAATTTGGGACGTACGTACACATATAGTTAAAAACAATGACACCTCTGGGGCAGGGCCAGTTTTGACCCCAGGGCTTTTATTTGAACAAACTTTGTAGATATTTACTTAAAAATGTTTCATGTATAATATCTAAACTGAAGCTATTTGGGTTTTTTCAAAGAAGATTTTTAAGTTTTTGCCATACACATATAAGGAAAATCAATGACCCCCGGGGCGAGCCAGTTTTGACCCCAGGGCTTTTATTTGAACATACTTGGTAGACACCCATTAGAACATGTTTCATGCTAAATATCTTAGCTCTAGCTCTTTGAGTTCTTTAAAAGAAGATTTTTTAAGTTTTTACTATATGCATATAGGGAAAATCAATGACCCCCTGGGGCGGGGCCAATTTTGACCCCAGGGCTTTTATTTGAACAAACTTGGTAGACACTCATTCGAAGATGTTTCATGCTAAATATCTTAGCTCTAGCTCTTTGGGTTCTTTAAAAGAAGATTTTTTAAGTTTTTACTATATGCATATAGGGAAAATCTATGACCCCCTGGGACAGGGCCAATTTTGACCCCAGGGCTTTTATTTGAACAAACTTGGTAGACATTCACTAGAAGATGTTTCATGTCAAATATCTAAGCTCTAACTCTTACGGTTCTTTAAAAGAAGATATTTTAAGTTTTTACTATATGCATATAGGGAAAATCAATGACCCCCCGTGGCGGGGCCAATTTTGACCCCAGGGCTTTTATTTGAACAAACTTGGTAGACACTCACTAGAAGATATTTCATGTCAAATATCTTAGCTCTAGCTCTTTGGGTTCTTTAAAAGAAGATTTTTTAAGTTTTTACTATAAGCATATAGGGAAAATCTATGACCCCCTGGGGCAGGGCCAATTTTGACCTCAGGGCTTTTATTTGAACAAACTTGGTAGACACTCACTAGAAGATGTTTCATGCCAAATATCTAAGCTTTAGCTTTTACAGTTCTTTAAAAGAAGATTTTTTAAGTTTTTACTATATGCATATAGGGAAAATCAATGACCCCCGGGCCAGGGCCAATTTTGACCCCAGGGCTTTTATTTGAACAAACTTGGAAGACACTCACTAGAAGATGTTTCATGCCAAATATCTAAGCTCTAGCTCTTACGGTTCTTTAAAAGAAGATATTTAAAGATTTTTCTTTCGGTTGCCATGGCAACCAGAGTTCTGCATGAAATGGAATTCTTTGAACAATCTTAATAGAGCTTCATACAAAAAGTATTCCTGCCAAGTTTCATTGACATTGGCCTTGCGGTATCATAGAAGATGTCCTTAGAATATTTAAAATGTGGACGGACGACTGACGACGGACGCCATTTGGTTGGCCATCCTAAAAGCTCACCTGCACTTTGTGCAAGGTGAGCTAAAAAACATTTTTCAAGCTGAATTTTATATTTGCTTTTCAACCAATTTTATGCACGCTTCCAGATTTTAACTGTATTATCTTAAAATGAAAATAAAAACAAGTTATATTCTATGGTGTTTATTTCACATCAATGGACTCCAAATGTAAAGAAATGTCATTTTTTACATAGGTCTTGCATATTATACAAATTGTGATGGACAGTGCGATGATAAAAGGATCATCCTTAATTATGCCTCAAAATATTTTTAATTCTTGGTCTCAAAAGCACTTTTTTCAAAAACGTTGCTTATTGGCCAATTAACAATCTGTTATTTCTGTTACCTTTTTGCAATTAGTGCAGATACAGTGTTGTATAAAAGTCAAAATATTACTTTGTTTACATTTTGCTACTTTCATGTCAAAACAATAAATAATTTTACCAATTTTCCTCAGGTAACAAGCATCTAAAATGCTTGTTATACATTATCTAAAGGTATACTTCTCATGTCTACTTTGTCTAAAGAAGTAAAAAAAATAAATCGTTTTTGAGGCATAATGTGAGTTTTAAAGATCCTGTTTACCATTTTGTTAATGGTTTTATATCATAAATTTAATTTATCAATATTGTAAGTTCCAAAAAGCATTATTTGTAAAGATATTACCGAATTTACATTTCAAGAAATATTTAGAAATATATTATAATAATAATTATATAAATATAATTAGATTTTTTTTCTTAAAAGTCTAAGTCAAATTTCAATAAGAAATGAATGCATATATTTTAATGATTACATAATAATGTGGACCATTATTGCAGCACATAGTTTACATATTCTATTCTTCAATGTTTGAAAATTGTATTAGAAATATATATATAATTACAACATACAGGATCTTTAATAAGATGTACAAAACATAATTAATAATATAATACATTTCACCCTATTATTATAGAAAGATATTTTAACATTTGTTAGGATAAATGTAAAACATTATTCAACTCATCTAAATACAGTAAATATAATTACAATCAAAGGCATACAAAAATCAAAGTCTGAATAATACATAGATAGCTATTTATAAAGCAAAATGTCCCATGCAGCCATAACTTTAAGTTTTTAAAATAGAATATTGATTCATTATAAAATATTTATTCATTAAAAATTTTATTTTTAACTACATGTTTTTAAAATAGCTTTTTATGTTTATTCAAATGAACAATATAAAATGATTCCAACTGAAAACATTAAAATTGATATTCTTACAATTATCAACTAAAACACTATAAAATCTGCAAAAGAAAATAAAGTAATATACTCAGAAGTTAAGAGAAGATCAATAGTAAGTCAAGCCTGATTTGAATGAAAGGCATTATATTTTTTTTTTTTATTTGCAAAGAAAAAATGATTTTTCTGGTAAAATGTGATGAGGAAATGGTTAAAAACTTGCACACAAGTTACTGGTTCTGACCTTCATCAGAAATGCATACAAACCACCGAAAATATTTCCTGTCCCGTAATGTCAAAAAATATCAGTGGCGTCCCTTTAATTTAAATTTTCAACAATGCTTTTAATGATTTAAATCATTGCCAACTGCTAGCTGCATACCTTTGTGAGACATAAATATCATACTACTGTCATAGAAATAATCATTCTCTTGTAACAGACACATATTGAAGGGATACATATACAAAATCATAACTATAATTCTAATAAATACAAAATGAATTAGGATAAATAAACAGAATTATTCTGAAAATACTTGTACAAAATCAATTAGGTGCTTAAAAATTCCGAGGGATGACTTTGTTACCAAATTTTTATTCTGCAGAACAGCAGGTGATAAGTGCTGTGTGGCAGCTGTAAAAAGTTGCCCTGTACTTCACTTCAATGTTATATTTTTCTAGTCCTTTGGGATCATTGATACCAGCACTATTAAGTATTGCGATTTGAGTACCACTCAAGCTGGTGCTAGGGAGCGTGAGGGATGTTGCACTTATTCATTATCCCTCATGTACAGACTCAATTAAACTGAGTCTGCAATTTTCATTTAATGTTGATCCATTTGTTTCCAGATTTTTTTTTACCCTCTTATACATATGCACTAGAATAAAGGCCCCTGACAGACTTAAAAATACTCGTTTTAAATACAAATCAAACAGAGATGGTGACATCAAACTATGTGTGTCTCACAGCTCTCAATGTATTCATATTCTCAAGAATTTCATTAATTAACATATCTTCATAAACTTAAGGCAAATGTTATACTACTTTATAAAATTATGTTCTGTATCATAAACAAATAATTGATATTTTTATTAAATGTTAGAATTTATATTATCAAAGTGACAATATGTTTGTTTGTTCATTGTCAAGCTGAGCCTGGGATCATAAGTAGAACTGAAATGGCTATACATGTATATTTAAAAAAGATTGACTCTGTTAATGGGGACTGACCAAAAATTTATCATAACAAGATAAGAATAAAATATAACAACTCTCTAAAATATTAAAAAACTGCCCCACTCTTTTTATCCATTGAATGTTAACTATATATTCCAATGGATATTTATAGAATTTTGTGTAAGTCACATTGGTTATTGATTATACACATGAATTTCACAAATGCAGTTATGGCATAACCTAAACTTATTTTGCCATTGTCCTTTACCAACACCATTAACACTTTGATAGACATAATGTCCCTTGAAAATTTACATAACTTATGTTAAGCATCACAGATAAACAACGAGTCATAAAAAAGTCTATTTCATCCAATGTCATTATCTATCGTCTTCTTAAACGATAGGCGGGAAGGGTTTGTATATCATCAACAGTGACACCCTTAATTTTCAGTTCATCAGTCACTCTGTCTAGATATGTAGGGTCAGGATAACCAAATCTGTGAAATATAAAAAAAACAATTTGAACAGTATCTCATTGCAATTTTATCCTTTTTGATTACACAATATTATACACATGCACAAGATACAGAAGTAAAAATAACCTATGTGTGCTTATATGGTAGACAAAATTATGTTTGGCAAGGACTGAATTTCATCAACTTTATACAAAAGATCCTAGTTTGATTATATATTTTTAGCTTTTTTTATTTATCTGTGTTTTGTTTTATTTTGTCTAGTTATATCTGTAAAGAAAGACCTATAAAGGTGCCCATTCCAGCGTTATTTCAGACACAAAGCTGCATCTTGGCAGAACTTTCAATGTTCTGTAACACTGGATACTATGCCTTCGCGCACCTGCAAAATGCCCCCAATCAAATTGTTTTTGTGGGGTTTTTTTTTGTTTTCTTTTTGGTAAATGTCACCTCGACATGAAGCTAAAATATATTTTTATTCAAGAAATCGTTAGACTATCAAAACAAAATAATGTAGCACACCAAAGTTTGGCTTGATAACTTGATGTTAAAGATGTTTAAAGTTTTACTGCCTAGTTAAGTCTTGGAAACAAAATATTTTTTTTTCCGAGATGAACTCGAAACAAAATTTATCATGTTTACAAGCTTGAATCGGACAGTAAAACTTGAAACGTTTTTCACAAATATATCCAACTTTTGTGCGCTACATTATTTTTGGTAATCTAAAGATTTCCTAAAATAAAAACATTTTATCATCAAGTTGACAGGATAACAGTCCTATTGGGAGCATGTTGCAGATGTGCGACACATTAGTATCCTACCAATGTGTAAGCTAGCTGAATAAGTTTCCTCACATGAAGGAAATCCAGCCCCTGGCGGGATTAGTGAGGGACAAAATTGTCTTTAACAACTATGCAATAGACGCTTCTGCTATCAAACCAGTAGGTACATGCAAGAAGAGGATGCTTTAAGAAAGTATGATCAGGCAGATGGACAACAGACATAGCTCAGTTTTACTTATAAATGTTTAATTGTGCATATATGATGGCGTGTTTCGAGCTACATTTCAGTGGATAATTACTTGGATACATACTGTGTGTTTGGTTTTTGATCTGTTTTATGATGAATATCATTCCAAGTGATTACACCTTCAGCTCCAGTTGTGCGGGAGTTTCCAATTGTGAAAACCAGTTTTCTCTCAAAGGCAACCTTCAGCATTTCACAGATTTCCATACCACGTCTGTTATTTGGCAGGTATGCTTTTCTTGTGATACCTTTGAACCTTGCATTTGGACGTGGATGGGTAGGCTGTGAATACAGATCATGAAAATCATTAAAAATTGTTTTTAATTACAAACAATTCCCATACACAAAAGGTATAATAATATTCATCAAATCTGCACTCTGAAATTTTGTAACCAGTAGGAATTGTTTTTCATTATGATAAATTATCTACTTATGGAATAATAACATAAATTAAAATACTGTTACTTAATATAGTATATTACCCCTTGTGTTCCATCAGGAAATTTGTATGTTATTTCTATCCTACCACAGCCTTCAAAACCAGCACATGAAGCCCTGTTATTAACAAACACATCCATGTCACCTGCTGGTTGGTCACCTGAAAAAGTTCATTTGGTTATCACTGAAAACGTTCATTTGGTTATCATTAAATCAGCCCAACAATGAATCATTACTTCAGGATTCTTCTGTCAATTTAATTAGTATACCTTATATACAATAACGTTAAACGCAAAATAAAGATCAAACCTTTTTTGTGGATATTGTGAGAAAATATTTTTGCAGATAAAGTGATTCATTACTAACTGAAAATATCAAAGACAAAAATTACATAAAAATTGAGGTGATTACATCTAACTAAGGAATACAGAGATTTGTAAGACATTTTCCATGCATGTTTCATTGACTTGAAGAAATCATTAAAAAAATCCAACAACCCATGTTTTTCACTAATAAGATATAAGTGTATTGAAGAGATTGTTTCAGTGATTTCTGCTATAAATTAGAAAATGTTTGCATGATCTTTACTCTGAAATCCACTTTCAGTCATTAAACAACAACCAAACTTCAGATATTGAGGATATGTGGTAAAATACACCTTCTGTACTACATTTGCTGAATCTGCTTCATAATGAACTGATCTAAGGTTAAAGAATATACACCAGATGCATTCAATGTTAAACTAACTTATAACACATTTTTTATCATATCAAATGAATTAATTAGTTATCCAAGGGAATAAATAGCTACGAGTCAAGCAACCACTAAAATACTAACCTGTTATTATTCCGCAAACCTTTCCACATGTTGGGCATGCTTCTTTATACGTAAACTGTGCCTCTATACATTCTGTACAAAACACATGTCCACATGAGAGCGTCTTTGGATTAGATATATCATCCATACAAATAACACATGTTTCAACTTCTTCCTCCCCATTATCTTCTTCCTCATCGGGTACAATTTCTGAGGGTGCATCATCATAGACCTCTTCTTCATCATCATCATCAACATGAACATCATCAACAACATCTTCTTCATCATCATCATCTGTTTTATCAAAACTATCTTCCATACCAATAGGTTTTGCAACATTATTTTCTTTAGCGTCTCCAAATATTTTACTACTGAAAGTACCAGTTGATTTATTTTCTTGTTTATCTTTTGTCTCCTGAAATAAAATTAACCACATAAGTTTTAAAAGATATGAATACAAGCTACCACAAAGTCACAAACAACAAAATGGAAGAAAAGGTATTTTTCATCAAAAAAAGTCAAAAATGTGACAGCTAGAGTGTTAAGGTTTTTCTATTTTTAGCTCTGGTGACCTAGTTTTTCATCTGAGACGACCCCTGTCCGAACTCATTCAAGCTATCACCTAGACAAGTATCCTGACAAAGTTTGATGATGATTGAGGCAAAAATGTGACAGCGAAAGTGTTAACAAGGTTTTTCTATTTTTAGCTCTGGTGACCTAGTTTTTCATCTGAGATGACCCATGTCCGAACTCATCCGAGCTATCATTTAGATAAGCATTCTGAGAAAGTTTGATGATGATTGAGGCAAAAATGTGACCGCTAGAGTGTTAACAAACAAGTTTGGACGGACGACAGACGACGGACATTCAACGATCCTTAAAGCTCACCCTGAGCTAGCTCTAAAAAGACAACAGTTGTATAAATGAACTAGAAATTTGTCATCATGCCACGGATACCCCCGCATGCAGCCAAAATTTCAGATGTTATAATATTTTGTTCCAAATTTGTTTTCATTTTAAGTACAAAGCCCTTAAAACTTTTCAATGTCAACAAAAACCATTTTCATACAATGTTCAAGGCACTGAAATTATTCTGTCTTAACCTTTTGAAAATAGCATATTGCATATTTGTAGCCAAAATAATGGCTACATACATTTCCACAAAAGTACGAGTGCTGAAACTGAAAGTTCAAATTTTTTCCAACATTCAGGAAAGATAAGTTTGTCCAAAATCATTGAACCACAACCAAATTCAAACTTAAACTGCTTATTCCTAAGATGTATCTATATTATTTTATAAGTGAAAGGGACATAACTCTGCCCAAAAATCATCGAACCATGACCAAATTCCAACTTGACCAGCCCATTCCTTTGACATATCCATATGTCAAATTTGAGTTGAATATGTAACACTGTAGGGTAGATAATGAACAGAAACTGTAAATTTCATATTATTTTCAAAGGAAAGGGGCATTACTCTGCCAAAAATCATTGAACCAAGACCAAATTCGAACTTGGCCTGTGCATTCCAAAAACGTATCCATATCTCAAATTTGAGTTGAATGTGTTGTACCGTTTGGGAGATAATAAATAGAAACTGTAATTTCATATTATTTTCAAAGTGAAAGGGGAATAACTCTGCAAAAAGCATTGAACAATGACCAAATTTGAACTTGACCTGCCCATTCCTTTGACGTATCCATATGTCAAGTTTGAGTTGAATGTGTTGTACCGTTGGGGAGATAATGAACGGAAACTGAAAATTTCATATTATTTTCAAAGGAAAAGGGGCATTACTCTGCCAAAAATCATCAAACCATGACAAAAAATCGAACTTGACCTGTATTTTCTCATGACATATCCATATGTCAAGTTTGAGTTAAATGTGTTGTACCGTTGGGGAGATAATGAACGGAAACTGTAAATTCATATTATTTTCAAAGTAAAAGGGGAATAACTCTGCAAAAAAACATCGAACCATGACCAAACTCGAACTTGACCTGTATTTTCTCATGACATATCTAAATGTCAAGTTTGAGTTAAATGTGTTGTACCGTTGGGGAGATAATGAACGGAAACTGAAAATTTCATATTATTTTAAAGTAAAAGGGGCATAACTCTGCCAAAAATTATCGAACCATGACCAAATTCGAACTTGACCTGTATTTTATCGTGACATATCCATATGTCAAATTTGAGTTGAATGTGTGCAACCGTTACTAAGATAATGAACGGAAACTGATGATGACGGAATGACAGAATGACGAAGGACGGAACAGGGTAACACTATATGCCCCGGCCATTACATGGCGAAGGCATAAAATAATACATTTTAGGAAGTATAAAATATATGTTCTGACATATTTTTGTATGAAAATATGTTTTTGTGGATGTAATCTAAATAATGGTTTGCAAGTAAAATATATATTCTGATAGATTAAAACAATCAAGGCTTTCATTTGTTACCTTTGTACTTGTTAATAGTCAATAAATTAAAGATAAATATCTAAATGTCAAAAAAAAATTGTTGATTTATTTCAAATGTGTTAATATTTTTTATTACAGTCAAACTTGTATTAAGCGACCGCGCCAGGGAAACACCCAAAACGGTTGCTTAATGAAACGGTCTCTTAAGACAAAGCATGATAAAAAGTCAAAATTTATACATTACATCTTTCTTTTGCAGTGGGAATGTTTTTCCACTTCATTTATATAAATGTTTAATAATAAGAACGCTCTGATAATCTAAATGGATGCTAATGTAAAAAAATAACTTTCTGATATTTTTTGACAAATCAGTTTTATTCCATTACGTACATGTTTGACATTTTTCCAGAATTTTTAAACTTCTCCTTTGTATTTTCTTGTCTCCAACACAAAAACCCTGATAAGTGAAGCATTTTTCTGTTGTGCATTTTTCATTTGAAATAAACAAACTACATCTGATTGTAAGGATTAATTTAATTGCTGATCAAGTTCAAGGTCAATTCAATTCAGTCTAAATATCAACAGCTAAGAGTATACACCATCTGAGTAGGAGCGTTGCATTGTTTTATCGATATTATTGGATAATACACGTCACGCCTATACTTACCTTTATTTACATACACTAAAAGGGTTTGGCAAATAGAGTTTTTCACACATTTATATATTGTGTTTTGATTGTTGACACTTGTGACATTACGAGGCGGCGTTCTCTAAAAACACAATTACTTGACAGGTAAAAGTGGTTCTTTAAATGAAAAGATTGATCTCAATTAGCTGACAAATTAGCAGTCCTATGTCCCGTTGAGCGTTAATGATATAGAAAGAAATGAACGGGGGGAATTGAAAGTGGCTGCATAAGACAAAAGTCCCTTAATACACGTGGTCCCACGGGCAAGTCAGACTGTACACCTATTATCTCACAGAACTTTAAACATCCTTCTTGCAAAACATATTCTTGTATTTCCAAATATTTTAGAAACCTGACATGATTCTAAAGGTATGTCCTTTTTAATCCTTTTCTATACAAACCTCAAAAATTTTAAGATTTCCCTTTATTTCCTTAGATAAATTACTGTTGACCGCTAAACTCTCATCTGCAGAACCAGGAATAGTTTCTGAACATGCGCTCTCATTAGGCCCATTTTCGCTCTCATTAGGCCCATTTTCTCTCTCCTCATCTGTTTTAATAGAACTGTCATCGCTTTCTCTTTCATCAATATCATCTTTATCAGCTTTAGGCTTTTCAACAACACAATCCAAATCTCTATCATATTCACTTTGCCTTCCTTTAAACATTCCAGTGGTTGAACTATCAAAGTTCAATCCCTCAACCCTTTCCTTCTTATTTCTTCTTCTGTGTTCTTGTAGTTTCTCATTTCTTGATTGATTCCAGTTTTTAGATGGTTTCATGTAACTTGAATGTCTTTTATTTTGTTCATGTTTGTCTGAGCTAGTATCTCGACCATGATTTCCAAAGACGTTTGGACCTGCAGACTTAGGTCTCGCTCCATTTTCCCCTCGTGTATAACCAGTATCGAATTTTTGACGATTCGTTATGATTTGCAATGGACGTGCATCTCGACAAGCTTTGTTTATTGTTTCTATAGCTTTTTCTGTGCTCTTTTTGTCATAGTGAACCAAGTGAACTTTGAAGCCATACTCTTTATGGTAGGCGGAAAACTCGCAAAGTGCTTCAAAGAATCTCTCTCCATAGAAAACTGGATCAGCATTGCCTTTTCCTAGGAAAATTGATATAAAAAGTAAATAATAATGTCAACAGATATTAAACTAAGTATATATACATTTGTATCTACTTATATGTGTACTAAAGATATATTGGTTCAAAAGTAAATGTTCTCAATGACCATAAGTAGACAATTAAACAAGTGGATCACTCACTTGATATTCACTTTTTGAAAAGAAATATGCAGCAAAACGTCACAGAGTCAAACTCAAAGTAATTAAACGTCAAATAATGTTTTCACATGGATGTGTTCATGTGGTTCCCTTTATATAATCCTTACTGATTTACTTACTGTCTTACTTAAATGCTTTTTTACAACCAAATTATTGTATATAAAAAAGATTTATCAAAGCTCTACCTTTATATGTTGTCTATTTCATTTTTTCTCAATCAATATAGAGCTACTATCCTGTTCACTTTATAGTTAACTAGAAACAAGATTGCATTTGTGAAAATGCTATGCCATCGCATTAATACAACACTAAATAGTAATGTAGGAACATATTTTTTTTGTTTCTGTACAAATGAAGATTGCCATAATGCATAAGTCACTGACCTATCTAATTCTTATTATTACATTAGTGGTTAAATCTATTGTTATTCAAATAAAAGATCAGAGTAGGAATTTATCAATGCAGTTTAGTCTAGTGAATTTGATGGTGAATGTCATATTTCACATGTCCAAAATTCCATGACTGTACATCAAAGGACAACACAGTAAGACACTTTGTCAAAATCTAGGCCAGCTGATATCAAAGTTCACTTTACATCTTAATCTGTGGACATGGTTCAAATTTCATAGCTGCACATTAAAGGACAAAAAAGTAGGTCACATCATCAAAATCTAGGTCATCAGAGTTCAATTTCACAAATAACAAGAACGTGTTTGTTAAACACAAATGCCCCCGTCTCCGATTCTTGTCAGTAATGATATTTAAAATAAAGGCTGTATGGGCAAAAGTGTAAAAAATCTATTTTTAGCACTGTTGACCTTGACCCAACTAACCCCTAACTCCATCCAAAGGAAGAATACCATGTAAGTTATCTTCCTACCAATTATAATACAAATCTGTCAATAAATAAAGGCTGTATGAGCAAAAGTTTAAAAAATCTATTTTTAGCACTGTGACTTTGACCCAACTGACCCCTACCTCCATCCAAATGAGAATACCTCAATTTTATGTTCCTAAAAAATATACAAGACATCTGTCGATAGAATAAGGTTAATACAGCTGTAAAAGTGTAAAAAATATATTTTTGACATTGGTGACCTTGACCCAAATGACCCCTTACTAAAGGAAAGGAAGAGGACCTCCCTTGGTATGGCTATTATAAACATGAAATACATTAACTTAAAAATAAAGGCTGTATGAGCAGAAATGTTTAGATTTATTTTTTTAAACAAGTGACCTTGACCTTGACCTAGAGACGCCTAACGCCACAAAAAATTAAAGGACCGTTAAAGGTATCCACCTACCAAATAATGAAAGATATCATTAAATAAATTAAGTTATTATGTGAAATTTTTTGATAAATCAAATTTGGCGGAATAGATTAACCATACAAGGCCCTATTTTCAAAGTGATAAAAAGGGTAATTACTGGGAAAATGGATGGCACATTTATATAACTTGGCAATATCATGTACATTGTATTGATAAATCTGAAAATTATTAAGCCATTAGTTCAGATAGAACATAAGATATTTCCAACTTGACGGTTTAGGTTAACCATTATATTCATTTTCTAGGTGCTGAAAAGGGCCATTCCCTGGTGCAAATGGAAACCATAGTTATGTAACTTGCCCATATCATATACTTTGTATGGATTAGTAAGTGTGTAAATTATGAAGCCATTGGTACAGGTAGAACTTAAGAAAAATCCAACTTGCCGTTCTACTAGGTTAACCTCGTTCGGACAGACGGAAGGACAGGCGGTTCAATTACTATATGCCCGGGGGCATAAAAATGGAAACATAGTCCAAATTTCATGGCTGTACATCAAAGGACAAGAAAGAAGGTCACTGTCCCCTTGGGCAAGGCAAAATTTTGACCCAAGGGTTTAATTCAAACAATCTTGATACAGGTCCACCAAACAACATTTCATGTCAAATATCTAAGCTGTAGCTTTCTTCAATTCAGAAAACATTTGTTTAAGTTTCTGTTTTTACAATGTGTACATAATGAAAATCAATGCCCCCGGGCAGGGCCAATTTTGACGCCAGGGGCAAAATTTGAACAACTTTGGTAGAGGACCTATGAATGATATTATAAAGCAAACATCAAAGCTCTAAGCCTTGTACCTTCAGACAATAAGATTGTTTACTATATGTACATAGTGAAAATCAATGACCCCCAGGGAGGGGCCAATTTTGACCCCAGGGCTATAATTGGCTATAATTTGAACAATCTTGGTAGAGGTTCACTACACAAAGTCTCATGCCAAATATCTAACCTCTAGCCATTCTCAATTCAGAGAAGAAGATTTTCAAATTTTACTATATACATATAAGGAAAACTATCGCCTCTGGGCAAGCCATATTGACTAGAGTCATAATTTAAACAACTTTGATAGAGGACCCATAAATGATATTATATACAAACTATCAAAGCTCTAAGCCTTGTACCTTCCGGCAAAAATATTTTAAATTTTTACTATATGTACATTATTAGTGACCGAAAATCATCGAACCCGAAGCATGTCCAATTTTGACCCCAGGGCTATAATTTGAACAATCATGCGAGAGGGTCACTACACAATGTATCATGCAAAAATCTAACCTCTAGCCATTGTCAATTTAGAGAAGATAATTTTTTTTAAGTTTTTACTAAATACATATAAGAACTAGAAATGTGTCCATAGGACACGTGTGCCCCCACTGCGACACTGTTTTGTCAATCTTATGACTCTAGGTCAAATATTTTTTGAAAACTAAAAATCTTTTTACTAAGTAAAGAGCAAGAACTTTACAAATACTGAATAAATCCCCAAGCAAACCCCAAGTTGAAACTTGCAAATTTATACTACTGTAAGTCAAAGGCAATAACTCTAACAAAACTGAATAAAGTCCACATGCAAAGTCCCAGGTTCATAGCTTCACAGTGATGTGAATCATTATTCCTGTAATTTAGTGATGTTGATCATGATTATTCCTGTAAAGTTGGTCGATTCTAACTCAAGCACTCAAGCACTCAAGGAACAAATAACAACATAATGAAACAGTTTTTACTAAGTCAAGGGAAATAACTCTACAAATACTGGATAAATCCACAAGCAAAACCCCAGGAACAAACTAAATATGCTGAGCAACTTTCCCATAAGGTTTAATGACTCTATGTCAAATCATTTTTGAGTTACATGCGACACAAGTTGAAAAATGCAAACATTTTCTAAGTGAAGGACAATAACTCGAAAAATACTAAATAAATCCAGACGAAAATACCCAGGTGCACACCTTCACATGCTGATCAACATTGCTGTAAAGTTTCATGACTCTAGATCAAATACTTTTTGAGTTACATGCGACACAAGTTGAAAATTGCAAAATTTTACTAAGTCAAGGGCTCCTGTGACCTAGTTTTTCATCCGAGATGTCCCATGTTCGATTTATTCCCAGCAATGACCTAGACAAGTTTCCTGACCAAGTTTGATGATGATTGATGCAAAACTGTGTCCGCTAGAGTGTTAACAAGGTTTTTCTATTTTTAGCTCCGGTGACCTACTTTTTCATCCGAGATGACTCATGTTCGAACACATCCGAGCTATCAACTAGACAAGCATCTTGACCACGTTTGATGATGATTGATGCAAAAATGTGACCGCTAGTGTTAACAAGGTTTTTCTATTTTTAGCTCTTGTGACCTAGTTTCTCATCCGAGATGACCCATGTTCAAACTCATCCGAGCTATCAACTAGATAAGCATCCTGACCAAGTTTGATGATGATTGAGGCAAAAATGCAACCGCTAGGGTGTTAACAACTAAATGTGAACGGAAGACGGACAATCATCGATCCTAAAAGCTCACCGTGAGCATGCTCAGGTGAGCTAAAAAGAGTAGCCACTAGAGTCTTAACAAGATTTTCTATTTTTAGCTCCTGTGACCTAGTTTTTCAATCGAAACAACCCATGTTCGAAGTCATCCAAGCAATTACCTAGACAAGCATCCTGACAAAGCTGAATGACAATTGAGTCAAAAATAAGACGTCAAAGTGTTTTTTCCATATTTGAGTGGTGTGACATAGTTTTTGACCCCAGGTGACCTATATTAAAATTTGACCTAGAAATCATCAAAACAAACTTTCAGACCAATTTCCAGGATATTTTGATCGAAACAGTAGTCACTAGTGTGTTTACTTAACAAAATTTTTCTATTTTAAGCGCCTGTGACCCAGTTTTAAATTCAGAATGACCAATGTTTGCACTCATCCAAGCAATTACCTTGACAAGCGTCCTGACAAAGTTTTAAGACAATTGAGTCAAAAAATGTGACCACTAGAGTGTAAACAAGGTTTTTCCATATATGGGTGGTGTGATCCAAGTGACCCATATTCAAACTTGACCTAGAAATAACCAAAACAACCTTTCAGACCAATTTCCAGGATATTTGGATCAAAACATAAGTCACTGTTGTGTGAATAAGATTTTTCTATTTTAAGCTCCTGTGACCTAGTTTTTTTAATCCGAGATGACCCATGTTGGAAGTCATCAGAGCAAATATCTAGACAAGTATCCTGACAAAGTTTGATGATGATTGAGGCAAAAATGTGACTACTAGAGCGTTAACTAACAAATGTGGACGGACAATAGAAGACGGACATATAACGATCCTTAAAGCTCACCGTCAGCAACTGGTCAAGTGTGCCAAAAAGTTGTGATAAAGATAGACTTTGCAAAACGGCAAGCAGAAAGCCGACACAACTGTAACAATACGACACACAAACAAGAGGGCCATGATGGCCTTAATATTGCTCACCTTCATATAGGCCCCGGGGCAGGGCCAATTTTAACCAGGGGCTTTAATTTGAACAAGCTTGATAGACACCCATTAGAAGATGTTTCATGATAAATATCTAAGCTCTAGCTCTTTGGGGTTTTCAAAAGAAGATTTTTTAAACTTTTTACTATACAAATATAGGGAAAAACAATGACCCCCTCCACCGGGCGGGCCAATATTGACCTCATGACTTTTATTTGAACAAACATGGTAGACACTCACTAGAAGATATTTCATGCTTAGTATCTTAACACTAGCTCTTTGGGGTTTTTTTTCAAAAAGATTTTTTAAGTTCTCACTATACACATATAAGGAAAATCAATGACCCTGGGATGGGGCCAATTTTAACCCAAAATCCTTTATTTTAACAAACTTAGTAGACATCCATTAGAAGATGTTTCATGCTAAAAATCTTAGCTCTAGCTCTTAGGGTTTTTAAAAAGAAGATTTTTTAAGTTTTTACTATATACATAAAGGGATAAACAATGACCACCTGGGGCAGGACCAATTTTGACCCCAGGGCTTCTATTTGAACAAACTTGGTAGACACCTACTAGAAAATGTTTTATGCTTAATATCTAAGCTCTAGTTATTTTGTTCTCTTTTTACAGATTTTTTTCTTTCGGATGCCATGGCAACCAGAGTTCTGCATGGAATTAAATTCTTTGAACAATTTTCAAATTTGACTACCAAAGGAACATTCCTGTGAAGTTTGGATAAACATTGGCTTAGCGGTTTATGAATGGATGTTGTTTAAAGTAAAGTTTACGGATGGACGCCCGACGGACGGACGCCCAACAAAAAGCAATCACAAAAGCTCACCGTGTCACTTTGTGACAGGTGAGCTAAAAAAACAGGAGCTAAAAATTGCCTACATACCAGTTCCTACCAATGGCAGAGCTATTGAATGGCAGGAATATGATTTCATTGCATGAAATATTTTGAAAAGAGAAGATGTCACTTTGAATTCCCTATCATCTTTGCTGCAGTGAATTTTCTTGTGTAAAATGGCGTGAGCAACCCATTTGAAGTTAGGTAGGTTACTTTTACATACAACTACATCCCCTTCTTTAGTTTTTGGAACAAATTTTTTAGTCATTTCTGCTTTGTAAACATTACCACCTCTTTTTTTGATAGCATTTGCTAGATATCCTTTGGTTTCGCCTGTTGGGGTATTACCACATGCTATCATATCTTTACTAGTCATACTCAGAATATCTACTGTATAAATGTACAAATTTTGACCAGGTCCAATACAACAGGCAAATTCTTTCTTTGAATGTCCTGGTGGGGTATCCCTATGACAGTATGGATAAATCACTAATCCAGATTTTCCTTTCCAAAATCTATTGCAGTCATCATCAGGAAGCTGGTCCTGATTTCTTGGACTCAATTTTCTATCTGGAAATTAAAAGAGACTTTTGGTGAACAAAAATATTATTTAAAATAATCAAAAACTCTGTCTTATCAAGTTAAAAAATGGTTTTAAGATGCATATGTCACATACAAAACGTGCTCTATATTCTTAATTGTTCATAGTAAAGCTAGAGTCTAACTGGACTTTTAAAAACATAGAGGAGATAATTCAGTAAAAATTCAGGGATCAAGTTTCTAGGCGACTTGGGCGACAATGTCTCTCCATTTCGCCCGGATCGCTTAGAAAAGGGAAAACAAAGTTGCCCTCATTTTCAATAAATGCTTGCAATAAATTTGAAGTGTCAAGCAGCTCAGTAATCGTCTACGCTCCTCCTATTTCAAAGCGATTTGTTAAACGCATTTTCATTGGTCGGTAAAATTGGAAAGCGAGTGTTGGAATTGAATGGTTAACATCTCAGGGTATTGTCAAATGCGACTTATTATCAATAAACAACAAATAACAGATTAGCAGCGTTTCATGTCAATTAGGATAAATTGGGGGCATACTTATTGAATAAATTAGTCGGTAAGTTTGGTGATCTTATTCTTACAAAAGCGTGTTGCCAAAAGTGTTGGTCACATGTATGTTTCGATATTTACAATTGTCTCAGCAATTTGGTAAATGGGTCTCTGTTATAAATGTTGGTGATGATTTATACCTTGATTTATTATTCTTTAAAAGAACTTTTGTTAGAATGTTTACAAGTAAACAAACAATAAAACACTGATGTCCTTTGCAAGCTGGTTAAAGGGAGGGGGCTAAAAGATCGGCTGTAAGCAAAAAGCAAATAGTAACACCAAATAGTGGATATAATGCATTCATGCAGAAAAAGTCCACCAAAGAAAAAAATTATCAACTGTACACACATTACTTTTCTTAAAAAAAAACAAGCAATTATCATAGTATTGCAAGCAATCCATAAGTCCCCTACCGGTAAGAGCCCAAGCAACATTCTGAAGGGCCATTGGCCATTCACTTATGTTCCTATTTTCAGTAAATTTGTTAAAAAAGTTATTTAAAAGTTATCACATGAAACAGTTTTTATGTACAGACAGACAGACTGAAGGACACTCTAAAGTTATTTTTTAAACATCCCTGTTATCAAAATATAACATTTTTAAAATCCTATCATGATTGAAGAAGTTGGAGTAAAAATTACCAATTTCTCAAAAAAAAAAGTCGAAGTTCAAAAGGGGCATAATTCTGGAAATAGTCTTGCTAGAGTATTGAACACTCACAAATGTTGAGTGATAATAAGAAACATTTTAATATGAAGTTTGAAGTAGATACATTCAAAAAAAGAAGGTATTAAAAAAAACAATGTTTTTTTCATGAAAATTTTAAGTTCAAGGGAGGTAATTCTGATAAATTTTGTGCTAGAGTTGTAAACCTTGTCACATATGATGCGGTTGATGACAAGCAACTTATATTTAAAGTTTGAAGAAAATACCTTAAGAAATAAAGAACTTATAGTGAAACAAACTTAAAAACTAGAATCAGAAATCTTGAAATTCAGTCTATTTTGTTGCCATAGCAAACCAGAATTTTCAACATAGGAAGAGATAAGAAAAGGATGTGCATAATTTCAATACTGCCATCTACCCATATGTCAAGTTTTCATAAACATATTTTCAGTACTTTTTTGTGTTATCACTGGATCCAGGTTATGTGTAAAATTTGCCATATTTTCAGTCTATTTGTTGCCATAGCAACCAAAATTTTTCAACATAGGAAGAAAAGAAAAAGATGTGCATAATCTCCATACTGCCATCTATCCATAAATCAAGTTTCATAAAAAATATTTTCAGTACTTTTTGCGTTATCGCGGGAATCCAGGTTATGTATAAAATTTGCCATATTTTCAGTCTATTTGTTGCCATAGCAACCAGAATTTTCAACATAGGAAGAAAAGAAAAAAGACGTGCATAATCTCCATACTGCCATCTATCCATATATCAAGTTTCATTAAAAATATTTTCAGTACTTTTTGCGTTATCGCGGGATCCCAGTTTTTCTGGACGGACGGACTGACGGGACGGACAGACGGACGGACGGAGGGTAAACCTAAAGGTCCCCTCCGGTAAACCGGTAAGGGGACTAAAAAATCATCCACATAATCCTTAATTTAAGTTTATAATTATGAACTTTTGATCTGCAGCTTGCTAGAAATATTTCTGGGGAAATTTGATGAAATATAGGGGCCTACTAGTGAATTTCTAATATATTTATTTATCCATCACGCTGAATAGATTCAGGGGATATGTTTTTGGCGTTGTCCGTCCCTCCACCCGTCTTTTTCCGTCCATCCCATCCTTCCGAATTTCGTTTCCGGGACTAGTTCTCTGCAACTACTGGCAGGAAAATTCAACGAAACTTTATGGGAATCATCAATATCAAGAGGAGATGCGCAATATCGTCAGCCTTTGTTCAGGTCAGACCCTTTAACTCAGAGTTATGGCCCTTGATTAGTTAAGCAGTATGCATATAGAGTAAAAATCGTTTCCTCACTACTTCTCTGCTACTACTGGCTGGAATTCAACGAAATTTTATGGGAACCTTCAATACAAAGAGGAGATACGCATATCGTCGGCTTGTTCCAGTCCGACACTTTAACCTAGAGCTATGGCCCTTGATTTGTTATGCAGTATGCATATAGAGAACAAAATCTTTTCAGCCCTACGTCTCTGCTACTACTGGCTGGAATTCAACGAAACTTTATGGGAATCTTCAATACCAAGAGGAGATGCGCTTATCGTCGGCTTGTTCTGGTCCAACACTTTAACTCAGAGTTATGGCCCTTGATTAGTTATGCAGTATGCATATAGAGTAAAAATCGTTTCAGCGCTACTTCTTTGCAACTACTGGCTGGAATTCAACGAAACTTTATGGAACCTTCAATATCAGAGGAGATGCGCATATCATCGCCTTGTTCAAGGTCAGACACTTTAACTCAGAGTTATGGCCCTTGATTAGTTATGCAGTATGCATGTAGAGTAAAAATTGTTTCCATGCTACTTTTTTGCAACTACTGGCTGGAATATAACGAAATTTTATGGGAACCTTCAACACCAAGAGGAGATGCGCATATCGTCGCCTTGTTCCGGTCAGACACTTTAACTCAGAGTTATGGCCCTTGATTAGTTATGCAGTATGCATATAGAGCAAAAATCATTTTCGTGCTACTTCTCTGCAACAACTGGCTGGAATTCAACAAAACTTTATGGGAACCTTCAATATCAAGATGAGATGAGCATATCATGACCTTGTTTGGGTCAGACACTTTAACTCAGAGTTATGGCTCTTCATTAGTTATGCAGTATGCATATATAGCAAAATCGTTTCCGCGCTACTTCTCTGCAACTACTGGCTGGAATTCAACAAAACTTTATGGGAACCTTCAATACCAAGAGAAGATGCGCATATCATTGCCTTGTTTGGGTCAGACATTTTAACTCAGAGTTATGGCCCTTGATAAGTTATGCAGTATACAACCAGAGCAATAATTGTTTCCGTGCTACTTCTCTGTAACTACTGGCTGGAATTCAAAGAAACTTTATGGGATACGAAGAGGAGATGTGCATATAGTCGCCTTGTTCCGGTCAGACACTATAACTCAGATTTATGGCCCTTGATTAGTTATGCAGTATGCATACATCTCATTGGCGTTTCCAGATATTACTATTTAACACAGAGTTATGGCTCTGTTATTGCCCTGAATATTTATCAAGTTCAAAGAATGTTACTGTTTATGCCATGATAAATATATAAATAAAGCCTTATGTCTTCAATTGTTGTGTTAGTAATAACCAGTACTCGGAGGGGGATATAAATTCAACGAATTTGCTTGTTTTTTTTTATTTTAGCACAACATCACATGGCTGCAGCATTAAAATCAAAACAAGCTACACAAAACCAATAATAGAGATGATATAGAAGAAAAAAAATAAAGATGATATAGAAGAAAAAAAAAGGCTGTCATATTTGTAATTTTGCTGTATATTGTTATGTAATAGAAGGAGCATCGACACACGAGGCTATCTGCTTTGTACGAGGGTGTGCAATCAGATTGCTGAGTGTTTTTTGGTGTTCTTTCTTCTTTTGTATCATAGTCAAACATAAAAGCACGTTCCCTGTTGTCACAATATGAAACCCCGGCAAAAAAATGAACCAATGAACGGACATCTGAATATGACATTTCTGTCGCTTTCCCTTTCTCTGCCGTCACAATATGTAAACCCCAGCAAAAATGAGCCAATCAATGGACATGCTCTGGAGTGCGGGTAACTAATACCCGCACTCCAGTTAACGCACTGTGCATGTATATGTATACGATTTAACCCTGACACATTTTAAACAGAAAGGTCTCCAAACTATGATACAAGAGTTACTTAATAAACTGTTATGTACTCCACATTATGTTAGTCAATCTTAAAACTTATATGAAAGTATGAAATGGAACATAAACACTTAAAAAAATGCAGTTTGAATGCGCTTCTCCCTAAAAACTTCTCCCTATTTTCACTGGAGGGAGAAGTCACTTCTCCCTAAATTTTAGGGCTAGTGTGATCCCTGAAAGTAATTCTACCATTAAGTTCTTGATTCAAGATATATTGAATAAGTTCTCGTGTCATAGCTAAGTTACCTTAGAATTATAGTTAAATTGTATATCCATTCAAAACAGTAAATGGAGTGATTGAGTATTAGATACCTGCTCTCTAGTAATTGCAATGCCTGTTACAGAGTAAAACAAGAACGTGTTTGGTCAACACAAATGCCCTAGGCTCAGATTCTTGTCAGTTACAATTTTACAAACAAGAGCTGTCCATAGGACATAGTAAAAGAGCCTTGATAATGTAAAATTTGAGGCATTACAAAAACTTAAAGGTAAATTCTAAGTCGAAAAAGGGGCATAATTCTGTAAAAATTCTCGATACAGTTATCTTCTCCTGTCTACAGTTTGGGGTCATGATGATGAACAAGTGTGCAAAGTTTCAAAGCCATATGTCAACGGATTGAGATATTACAAAAACTTTAAAATATGTGGTAAAGCTGACGACGACACCGATGCCAACACTCGGGTGACTACAATAGCTTTACATGTACTTATTCTTATCGAATAGTCAACCTAAAAAGGTTAACCCATTCACTCAGTTATGGACAGAAAAACTGCCAATAAAAACAGTAAACAATGTTATATAACCGAACACAGTCATGTTTTGTTGTGATGAAATCTTAAAAATTATGGATGTCATTTCCGTTTATTTTTGTTGATATCGCTAGAAACGCCAAGCGCCAATATTGTTTTCAACGGGAAAATGACTGACACACAAAATTAGAAAAACGCGCCATAACATTATGTTGTAATTTGGGAATGACACCAGTCCTGTAAACACATTTGAAAAAAGTCAGCTGGCAAACAGAGAAAATAAAATGTTGCCATAATTAGTGTTTAGTGACATAAGAGATTAAGTGTTGAACGGGAAAACGAACATTACTTTGAAAGACAGTAACGGTCATTGACTGCGTAATGTTGAAGCAAAAGTTGTACGTTACCATGACATTGACGTCAATAACTTTTTGGAGTGGGCTGCTGTCGCCGATATGTGTTAATGTAAAATTAAATATTGTTGTAATATAAGTAGCTACTAACATAATTTTTCTGTGTTTATTTGTTATTTATTCTTCTAAGCAGTGTAAGAATTTGAAATCAATATGTCAAATATATTTTATGCAACAAAGTCAGTCCACAAATTTTTGGATAACCCCTCGTATATGTTTTAAATGTTTACATATTCATTAACAGTCGATCATACTACAGGTGCTTTAAATGTAGAAGAAAACATAATACTAGTATATGTGAAAGTAGTTCAGATTCCAATCAGTGAGTCAACCAAACTTTCAACCAAAAATCAACCAACAAGCACAGGCTGCAACTTTCCAAACAAGCTCCGTCCAGAAAGTGTGCGTACGACACAAAGAGAAACATTAAAAGATAAATGAGAAAGAGTGAACTGATGAACATAATAGATAGTTATTATTGATATAAGTTGCAATTTCATGAACACAGACTATAAACATTTATTATATATTAATAACATTAATAGAGATAGATGAATTATCAATTGAGAGGCATTTGTGTTTTTTTAAGACAATGACTTTTTATTTAAATGCATTTTATAAAAGAGATATTTCTAAGATATGATAAAATTAACTGTTGTAAATTTTAATAATTTATCATTTTTGGGCCACCAAGAATCTTTGGGATTGGGCTCAAATGCATGTGCTGTTTAATAATGCCAAAGTATGTGAGTCCTTAGAGTTAAGTTTCTTCCTATGTTTTGTAGTTTGAAACATTAGTAGTTTTGAATAGACGTATAAAGCAAACACATTGTATTGAACATTATTTTCCCTAGCATAGTAAAGTAAATTTGATAATCATGTACTTTGTATTGATACCTAAGTGTGGAAATAAGATGATATGAAGCCATTGGTACAGACATAACTTCAAATACATCCACCTTGCCATTTAGGTTAACCTCATATGGACAGACGGACATACAACCAAATAAGGGTAAAGGGCATTTCTATTTTTTTAATAGATGACCATTTGCCCCTTCCTCTATTAACTTTGTTTTTCTCTTTTTTCTGTAAAGAGTTAGATGTCCCCCTTTTATAAGATCAAAAAAAAATTGTAAAAACCTGGTACATAATATTATCTTACCCTTTCTATATGTAGCTACTGATTTCACGTATCTCATCTTATTGTAGGATTTAGGAATATGCTCGTTGGGTATCATTGACTGAAATGTATTGTGCATAGCCTGTACCATTTCCATATTTGTATCCACAAAGTGAATTTCCTTCAATGGTGATTTTGAACATCTACTATAGTCTACCACAGCTTTGGCATACTGGATACTACATAGATCAAGTGGACAGCCATAAATTCCTGAAACATAAACATGATTATACAGTGCAATACACCGGACATCACTAAATATAAGTCAACATTAGTCTTGCGGTAAATATGTATTGCTATCCAGCTGGTGTATATCTTAGTCCAATAATTATAAACAAGAGGGCCATGATAGCCCTGAAATTGTTCACCTGAATATGAAAACTCTCCAAGACAATTAACAAGTTATACTGTAAACTATAAACAAAAGTAGATATAAAATCTAAATCTTTTGATCTTAAGAAATAAATTTTCAAATGATTACTATATAAATACATGTATAAGGAAAATCAATGACCCCTGGGGTGTGGCCAATTTTGACCCCAGGGTTTTTATTTGAACATATTTGGTAGACACTCACTAGGAGATGATTCATGCTAATAGAAATATTTAAGCCGTTTTTAAAAGAAGATTTTTTAAGGTTTTACAATACATATATAAGGGGAGAATCAATAACATCCTTGGCTGGGGAACTTTGAAACCAACTTGCTTTGATTTGAATAAACTTGGTACACACCCACTAGAGGATGTTTTAATGCTTAATATCTAAGGTCTAGCTCTAGCTCTTTGGGTTTTTTTAAAATAAGATTTTTTAAGTTTTTTTCAATATTATAACATACAGTGCAAGACTCCGGATACAATGAGATCGTCGGGACTTCGGATGATTCCTCGTTATAACCGGGGTCTCGTTATAACTGGGAAAGAACAAATTGAGAAATCTGACACCGTCGAGCATCATTTATTTCTACTTTCGCGTGCATCCTTTTTGAAGAGTATATAATGGGAGGTAACTCTTTGCAATCAGAAGTTTTTGTTTTATTTAAATATACATGTATATAAATATATCTAGCTATCAAAGAATTTAAACAAAACATGAAAACACAACCTACGTCTAACTGCCTGTGTTTTTTTAGCTCACCTGTCACAAAGTGACAGGGTGAGCTTTTGTGATCGCTTTTTTATTAATATGTACATTTTAAAATTTGTTTTCAAAAGTCATGCAGTGCATTTCTCACAAACACCAAATAACACTGCAAGAAATTATCTGCTTCCTTTGTTCTAATCACTCAATGAAATTGTTTGGTTAAGACATTTCGTCACCTTAACGGCAATTTAGCCCAGAGCGCTGACAAAACAAGGCTGACAGACTTGAAATCGCTAATTGCTCGAACCATTATCTTGTCCCGCGTCAATAATTTCCTTCCTTAATTGACCTTTATTATTGGTCATCATTGTTTTTTCTCGAGGGTGACAACTGATGCAGACGAAGTGCAAATGAAGTGACCTCGTTAAAATTCTGAAAAATACGCATGGGACGGCGAAATTATGTACGTTGTAACCGATTATCTTGCTAGAACTGATCTTGTTTAAAAACGATAAAAAAAATGAAAGGAAAATAGAAGGAAAAAGGCCAGGAACAGTAGAATGTACGTTGTAAGCGATACCTCATTAAAATCGATCGCGTTATATATAAGTGGTGTAGACTGTATATAGAAAATCAATGACCCCTGTGACAGGGCCAATTTTGAACAAACTTTGACCCAGGGGTTTTTATTTGAACAAACGCCCACTAAAGATGTCTCCTGCTAAAATATCTTAGCTCCAAGCTCTTTGATTTATTTAAAAAAAAGATTTTTTTTTGTTTTACTATATACAATATATAATATGTATAGATACATATATACATGTATAAGGATAAATCAATGACCCTCTTGGAGCAGGGCAAAATTTGACCCCAAGGCTTTTAATTGAACAATATTGGGTAGACTCTCACTAAAAGAAATTTCATGATAAATATCTAAGCTCTTAAGCTCCATGGAAGATTTTTTTAATTTTTACTATATTACACAAATAAAAAAAAATCAATAACCTCCCGGGATAGGGCCAATTGTGACCCCTGGGCTTTTTATTTTAAAAAACTTGGTAGTCACTCACTAGAAGATGATTCATGGCTAAAATATCTAGGCTCAAGATCGTTTGGAGTTTTTAAAAATAACAATTTTTTTAAGTTTTATTAAGCCACATTTTAGGAAAATTAATGACCACATTAGCGTGGGGCCAATTTTGACCCCAGGACTTTTATTTGAAAAAACTTAGTAGACACTCACAAGAAGATGATTTGTGCCAAATATTCTAAGCTCTATATTAGCTCTTTGGGGTATTTTTAAAGAAGATTTTTTTTTTAAAAGTTTTTTTCTGTCTGTTTACGATGTCACCTGAGTTCTGCATTGAATCAAATTTTTAAAGATCAGCAAAGTAAAAATTACTTTGAAGTTTGGATGGAGATGTCGTTTTAAGTTTAAATAATAAACAGACGACAAATGTAGGGATGACAGAGGGATGGACATGTGACTAAATTGAGAAAAAGGGTCATTTCGACGGATAGAAGATGAACAAATTGTGATTACAAGAGCTCGTCTTGTCACTTTGTAGCGAAAAAAAAGAATCATCTTTAAAATCAATGCAGTTTTCCCAAAAAAATCTGAACTCAAGCCTTATTTTTTTTCTTTTTCTTTTTTTTTCTTTTTATTCACAGTCAAACCTAATTTTTTACTTTTTAAATTAGCAATTTTAGCGGCATTTTTTCCCAAAATCAAGTGGCTAAGGCCTCTTCCTAATTAAGTGAGAGAAAAAATTACTGGGACCACTGGCTAGGAGCCTAGCAGGACACCAAATACAAACTTGACAGGGCACAAGGCAAAGCACAGACCATGTGATTTCTATAATAATACATAAGGGGTAATGATAAACCTTTTATGACAAACCTTTTTTTCTACCCCTAAAAACAAAATTTTCAACAAAAAAATGTCAACACATCAGAGAAATAAAAGATTTTTCTTATGTATGTGAAAGGATGTCTAAAACCTCTGTTTAAAATTCATCTTTTCATTCTTTAATTGTTTTCCCATTGTCTAATCAGAAAAATTCAAGTGAACTTTTACTAAAATGGGCTTTTATTACATGTATATTATTCTTGAGGACTTGATAAAACTTTTTAAATAAAGGTACAGTCGGGCTTCAAAAAGTAGAACTCTCCCATTTTATTTGACTGAAAGCAGAAGTAGTTTGTTTACTTCAAAAACAGAACATTTTTAAAAACAGTGTCTAAACATATAGAAAAGGATAAGGGAATATTGCAGTAAAGAAGATCCGGAAAAACATCAAATTTTCTTTTGACAAATTACAAAATTAAAATCTTTTCCCTATTTGACGCTCCTTTTTGAAAGTCCCAAGATTGCTTATTTATATCAAAATCATACTTAAATTATTCAACATTTTTTGTGTTTGGCCCATAACAAATCTTGTCCATTTATAATTCATAAATTAAATCTAAATTTAACAATATGACCTTGAAGGTCAAAGTCATTCAAAAGCAAAGTCCGCATTTATTAACGCATTAATATCAGTTTTTGTCATAATATTTTATTGTGTCCAAGATAAATCAAATCCATAAATAAGTAAGTTAATTAAAAAAATAAATGAAGAAAAATACTTAAATTCAACCTTGATAGTCAAAAGGTTACTAAAAGGTCAAGGTCATAATTAAATCATATAAAATGCTTGTGGTCATAATTAAATCATATAAAATGCTGGTTTTGACTAAACCATAAACTAGAACATCACTAAATGTGATTTATACCCCCGTAGGACTGCCTCGGTAATGGGGAAGTTACTTAGTAAACAGAATACCTTGCAAAAGAAATTGAAAAGAGTTATGGTTTTTGGGCAATTAAAGATAGTTGTGGTTCTTAAATGTTGCATTTCCCTTTCAATGTGGTTGACCATTGATTAAGTTTTATTTAATTCACATGGTACTCTGTTTATAAGTCCATAAAGAGTTACCCTTCCTCTCATTGCACTTGACCATTGGAATGAAATTGTTTGAATTCGCAACCAGTAGTTTTCAACTTTATAATAGCTCCGGACAAGGAAAAGAAACAAAGGGCAAAACTCTGTAATTAGTCAAGATTGAGTTATGATTCTTGTGCACTGCACTTCCTCGCAATGTGCTTGACCATTGTATGAAGTTATATTGAATTCCAACCATTAGTCTTTTGTTATGCTCCGGACAAAAAAAGTAATGGAAAAAGTAACAAAAGGCAATAACTCTGTAATTACTTAAGATAGAGTTATGGTTTTCTTGTTGCACTGCACTTCTCTTTATTGTGCTTGACCATTGTCTGAAATTGTTTTGAATTCCAACAAGTAGTTTTCAAGTTATGCTCCGGACATGGAAAAGTAACTTAGGGCAATAACTCTGTAACTATTGAAGATGGAGTTATGGTTCTTGTGCACTGCACTTCCTCTCAATGAGCTTGAACATTGTATGAAGTTGCATTGAATTCCAGCAATTAGTCTTTGCCCGTCCCTAGATTTGCCACTACTTGCCAGCTATTTCCACTGAAAAGGGTGGCATTAAGTGTAAAAAAGGTGGCATTAACTGGAAAATGACAAAATTCCACTCTTTTTCCACTGTAGTGGCAAAATTGCCACCAAATGCCACTATCCTTTGGTGGCATTTAGGTGGCATTGAGTGGAAATTTGAACATAGACTTTTTTTATGGTGGCAAAAGGGTGGAAATTGGTGAAAAATGAAACTTAGTTTATTTTGAAGGTGGAAAATGAGTGGCTTTTAGTGGAAAAGTGAAAACTCTAACTATTTTCTGGGTGGCAAAATAGTGGAAAAAAAACTTAGAAAATTTTTGTGAATAACTTTTAGTCGAAAAGGGAAACTCTTAACTATTTTCTGGGTTGTATAAAAATTGGTGGAAAAAAACTGAGAAATCTAATAATTGTGCATTGCAGGGTTTAAGATTTATTTAAGTCAAAAGCTCCCAAACTGAAAAAATCTGTTTATAGTTTGTACTCTACCAAAGCATCAAGTGAAACTTTTTATCAAAAAATATAATTTATTGAAGTTGAACAGTTAGAAAATTTTATCAGAAACTCATATTTCTTAAAAACATAACTAAATGCCATGAAACAGCAATTCT